TGGCGTTGATACAGCGAAGGCGAAGCACACTCAGCAACGAAACGAGCGATACTTTACGATCACACTTAAAAAACATTCAATCCAACGCCCCAACCACCTCTCCACCTCACGTGCAAACAAATCCCAAACACAACATTCCATGACGATCCGCCCAAGCTGAGCAATACCTAGACAGACAACCAGAGTAAACCAACGGCAATACCAGAGGCAGGTATTAGCTTAGAAAAGACACAACTCTCCTGAATACCACAGAGATGGTACAATTGAGGCGCGGGACTGAGTCTATACATAAGTTCCAAAAGGCACTGCAAAGGCCTCTTGAATGAAAAAGTCCTAGCAAAAATTATGGAACACGCGCGTATTGTTCATAGCTCCATCTATAATGACACATTAACCAATGGTCCATGAGTAACTCAAAGGTGTCATCCAAAACACAAAAGTTTTTTATATATCCAAGGACAACCTTTCTAAAAAAAGTAAAATGCTAACGTAAGGCAATCCTAAAGTGTTAGTATATCAAAACTCCAGTAAAAAAGACTTCGAAAAAATCTCCTCCACAGCTGCAACTATCAACACAGATCTCGACACATTAATCGCAAAATCGGTTGCCTTAATGATCTCTCATTACAGACATGTCGCCAACAAAATAGATTCCAAGCCAGCCACGCTCAAAGCCTGAAACGGAGGTTCAGATCTGGCTCCTGCTTTCTGTCGGCTCCGACCGCGCTCTCTCACATGCGCCTCAGACATGTTTCACCAAACCCTCCCAGAGATGACGTCGAGGAAACAGCTCACCCGCCGGCAGCGCTTCTACCCCGGGCCAGACGCATCCACCCAATGGGTTACGGTCCTCTGACCCACGCTGCTCACTGCAACAGAGACACCATGCGATCCCCACCACAAACAAACCAACAGAGCCATACCGAGCCACACTCCCAACATTCGTAAACTGAAACCGGACCCCCACAATTAACCCCCCAACCAGCAAAAATTGTTGTTTGTTCTAGAATCTAGATACCCACTATTTAACACTTTCCATCTCTCTTCATCATAATCATCATCCGGTTTCACAACATTAGCTCAAAAACCCAATACCCATACCGAACAACAACATACATAATCAGCTCACTATATCGAGCACTCTCTTCTCTCCCATGTACCTCGCGAAGCACTAAACCCAATATCTACAAATACCAAACTTCTAACCCACACACCAGACTTACTACATATATGTATGTATATTCACTCCGTAATGTAAATATATTCATGCTCAAATGTATCTCCTGTGAACAACAAAATAACAAAACAAATACACAAACCCTCAAAGAACAACACACTTAGGCACTGATTTGCATATTCTCATCAAAAGTTTCCTTAAATATTAATATGATATATCATGTTAATTCCACTCATGAACTCCTCTATAACAGGCAGCTTATTATTATCAAATGCCAATTTAACCAATCATCCCAAACATAATAGAAATTCAACAATATTAAGTGCCATTCTGACATATCACACTAGTATACATAAAATAGTGTACTAGTACACGCAATATTAAATATTTTACATATATTCGTTATGAATTATATATTATAAATATAACATGATAACAAAAACTCAACATTTTTAAAAACAGGATTACATTCCTTCCATGTGATTAACTAACTGACCACACCAAACACACGAGTAACGCGCGAATACCAATGGTCTACCGACAATGACCATCTGGGTTCTACAAGAGAGCCAGTATCATTAAACTCCATGGATAAAAAACAATCCTCCATATAACATACACCAATAAGGGAGTTCACGTGTAGTTGTACAACTGAGATGCAAACACTAGACGTTCTAACTGATACAAAACCAAACAGTCACATAATGAAGCCAGTATGTTTCCACAACACTCGTGATCCACATCCCTTGTGCATCTAGTTCCCACCCATTACACCACAACCTCTCTATATTTAGAGGAAACTTCAACACAGATATAAGAGGAATGTAAGAACTCAAGTCATTATATCCCATTAGTTATCTCTACAGGACTACTAATATACATTCAACAAATGACCAGTTAAGGGTATCCAGGGACTGAACACCCAAGCCAAGTGCCACCACAAGATCTGACAAGACGCAAGGCCATGGCACCAGCTGAATGTCGACTCTCTCATCGTTGAAGAATTATACATCATCAATGTAGAGAACTTCCTTCCAACGCGAAGTAACGCCGAATCTACTCCATGAGAATACCCAAACTCGGAGCTATTAGTCTCGATTGACTATTCAGCAACTTACTCGAGAGACGCTGAGGGGCGGCGCCCATCAAGATCTGCCCTGAGGTGTATATTGCTCACGTTAAAGTCATTAGTGGACCAGCTTACGGTAACATGATTGAGTCACCTCTGTACATAGCGGGTTGCCTTGTTCTTTATGATTTGCAATTCGGATTCAGAGCAGGAAGTCCTGGTGGCGGACTGTTACATTCACTGCAGGTTCAGACACTGGCATATGCTGCGTCATTCAGATCTGGACTACTCTGGCAGTTTTTATTTTAAGCAGCCAACATACCTGGAGTGGAGAGGTTTGCGGGTTATTCAGCAGGGTAGACTCCCTGCATATAAAGTACATATAAGAAATAATACTGACAACCTCCTACAGGAGGCACAAATTAATCAAGGAGACCATTTAGAATTCCATGCACCAGTAAACTCCTGTAATGAGAAGAACATTATTCATTTAAGATTACTGGAGACCATATATCCACCTTTATGCAGACCTCTATACAAACCACCAGACAGTGCGAGGCCTCAGTCCTGGCCAGCATTCTCTCAGGATTGTTCTGGCACTATAGGCACAGAGCATCCTAATGATCCATTGTGGTGAGAGCAGAATCAGTGGACTATGAATGACAATGGTGTTCAACTGTCCTTTTGAGTCAGGTGAAGTGGCTAGGTGAAGAGTGCTACAGTCTCCAGAACTGCCAGCTGGATGGCAGCAGACAAGACTGGAGCCAGGATGATTTTGATTGGGGAAAAGAAGCAACAAAGGTAGCCACTAATTTCCATCTGAGGCCATCAGCTGATGACTTAGTAACCTGGGATTTCGTTTACAGTATGTTGCTTTCAGGATTCATACATGTAGTTTATAATGAATTTGTGGATTGATATAGATTTTAAAAAAATGTTTAGACAAATTGTGAAAATGTTTGGCACCAAGTAATGCTTTAATTTTAAAGGCATTACTGTCCAAACATTTTCACAATTGTCTAAACATTTTTTTAAAATCTATATCAATTCACAATTCATATAAATCTACATGTAGATCCCTGAAAGCAACATACTGTAAACGTAATCCCATTACTATAGTCATCAGCTGATGCCTCAGATGGAATTAGTGGCTACCTTTGGCTTCTCCCCATCAAACATCCTTGGCTCCAGTCTGTCTGCTGCCATCCAGCTGCAGCTTCTGTGAGACTGTTAGCACCTCTTCACCTAGCCACTCACCTGACTCAAAAGGATCAGTGAAACACTCATTGTCATTCAAGCCACTGATTCTTTGCTCTCACACAATGGATCATTTATTGATGCTCATGTTGCCATTAGTGCCAGGAACAATCCGAGAGAATGCTGCAGACTGAGGCCTCGCACTGTCTGGTGGTTTGTATAGAGGGTCTGCATAAATGGATATATGGTCCAGTAAGTCTTTAAATGAATAATGTTCTTCTCATTACAGGAGTTACTGGTGCATGGAATTCTAATCGTCTCCTTTGATAATTGTGCCTCCTGGTGGGAGGTGTCAGTATTTATTTTCTTTTTAAGTGTACTTGTATATGCAGGGGAGTAGGCCCTGCTGAATAACCCCAAACCTCCTTTCACTCCAGGTATGTGGCTGCTAAACATAAAACCTGCCAGAGGAGTCCAGATCTGAATGACGCAGCATATGCCAGTGTCTGATAACCTGCAGTGAATGTAATCAGTCCGCCAGCAGGGACTTCCTGCTCTGAATCCGAATTGCAAATCATAAATTGAACAAGGCATACCCCGCTTTATGACAGAGTGACTCAATCAGTTACCTATTTAGCTGGTGCCACCTAATGACTTTAACGTGAGGCAATATACACCTCAGGCAGACTTGAGGGCGCCGCTCCCTCAGCGTCTCTCGAGTAAGTGCGAATAGTTCAATCGGGAGACAATAGCGCTCAATGGATCTCAATGATCTTGCGTTTACCTCCGCTTTGATGTCCCTTTGAAGATGTAAATCTACAACGAGCAGAGAGCGATCACAGCTTGGAGCCATGCCTGGAGCTTGGAGACAGGATCTTTGGGGCCACTGGCTGGTGTCAGGGGCCCTGGATACCCTGAACTGGTTTGTGTGATATGTGCCTGTAGATATTCTAACAAATAAGCGACTTGGAGTTTCTACGATCCTCTATGGCCACTGTGAAGTTTCCTCAAAGAAAAAGAGGGAGAGGTAGAAAGAGTGGGAATAAAGCACAACATGATCACAGTGTGTTGGAAACAGACTGCGCCATTTGTTCCTTTTGTTACAGTTAACGTCAGTGTTGCAACAGATGACAACACACGGGAACTCCCTATTTATCCATGGTTATAATGACTGGGCCTCGATATTTACCCAGAGTTCATTGCCAGCCTTGTGTTTTCGCTTACGCTTTTCATTAGTTACAGTGGAAAGGTAAAATCCTGTTTGTAAAAATGTGATTTATCATTTAAAAAATAAAACGAATAAAATATTAAAAAGCTCTACTTTACACTTTACTACTGTGTACTCAATGGCACAAAGTTTATATGTTATGGTTGGTTAAATGTGCATTTTAATAAGCTGCCTGTATAAGATTCAGCAGGATAAATGAGAACATATTAATATTTTAAGAAACTTTGATGAAAGACAAACAAGTGCAGTGTATTCTTTGATTCTATTTTATTTGTCACATAGAACATTTGCAGCAAATATATTTACATTACATTAATCATACATACAAGTAACGTCTATATATACTATAGTGCTTCAGACATATTAAAGGCAAACATTATATTCACTATATTAACAAGTTTTAAACCCCTCTTTTAGAGAGAGAGAGATGGAAGAATATCTAGATTCTAGACAAAAACATATTTTGGCTGGGTGGCGGAGGGGCCGCGTTCAGTAGAAGTGGGGAGGCTGCAGGATGGCCGGGGGGTGGGAGCGGTGCTGGTGCAGAAGAGCAGCGGGCAGGACCGTCCTGTGGAGCGGCTGCACCCGCGGGTAGAAGCCGCTGCCGGCGGGGAGCTGTCCACTCAGGACGGGGTGCTGAAACAGCAGAGGCGGCAGCAGACCGGCCGGGACCGACAGAAACTCAGGACGCAGATCCTGGACCTCCCGTTTCAGCTTCATCCTCCTGTTCTGGAACCACGTTTTCACCTGAGAGAGACACAAGGCAACCATTAGCGAATGTGCAATATGCTCAGCTGTGAATTATATTCATTATTTTTACTGAGTTTGGAAACACACACTAGGACCTCACGTTAGATTAGAAGGTTGCTTTATATAAAAATATACACTTATACATGGCCAATTTAACCTAAACTAACACTACCGGTCCTAATTTTGCTGTGACTCTTTCAGAGGCCTTTGCAGTGCCTTTGGAGACCCGCTGAAACCACCGCCCCAAACCCACCTGAGTTTCAGAGAGGTTGAGCTTCTCAGCGATCTTCCTCCTCTGTGTAGCGCCCAGGTATTTGTGCTTGCTGAAGGTTTTCTCCAGCTTGCCGATCTGCTCAGAGGTGAATTTGGTCCTCATCCTTCGTTGCTGAGTGGCTTCCCCCTCGCTGTCATCTCCCACCTCACTCTCAGAGCCCGAAGTGTAACCGCAACTATCTGGAAGGAGGAACAGAGAATTTAATTCATTTAGTCACAATCAGTATCAACCCAAAGAGCCGTCGATCTGGAGACAGAATGTACAGGGAACTTACTGTTTGGCGAGGTCGGAGAGTATTGGCTTCTTGCTGCTTTTGTAAATTCTTCCATTTCTCTATGGACTTTTGAATGAGACATATCCTCATAGTAACTTTTGGAAAGCCATTCTACAGAGAAGTTTGCCATGTTGTATTCCAGCAGTGGTCTCAAGGTGTGTGTGTCGCTGTCCCTTGGGTGGCTCTGGGCCGCTATATAGGAGGGGCACACGTCTTTATTTGCATATGCAAAGGAATCTCAACGGAACGATAGAAACTTGATGGTCGTTGTAATTGAGGTTAATAGAGGCTGGGCTGTGGTTTTTCTCACGTCCCTGGCTGGCTGAGATGCTCTGGCGCCAGTAAGTCTGAGTATCAGTTACCTGGCAGCTCTGCATAAAGTTATTCAGGCCTACATCCGCTGCTGAATACAGAATGTCATAGCAATCAAAGAACTATTTCTAGTAGGCTTCGAGTCCTGCTGTGCCATTGGCCAAATACATTATCACATAATCTTATATTTCAGCCATATCAGGGCAGAATATTACGCTGAAATGTCCCACAAGTTTTCAATCAGAACGTCTCAGCCCCGGCTGTCAGATCTGTGATTGACCTTTGCAGTCGCAGACAGAAGCGCCCAGCTGTCTGAGCATCAAACAATCTGGTGATGAAGCCTTTGTTATGGTGGGTGTGACCGCAGTCAGACAAAAGCGAGAAAGTTCCGTTTGATCCTTGTAAACTTATTTGAATGAGACATTTGCTGAAGGGCCTCTGGGCACCTTCAACCCCAATACAACCTGTAGGACCCAAAGCAGAATGATGATTATATTGTCTCAATTCATTTACACCAAAATTGTGGTAATCTTCCTGCCCCGGCATAAGATGACTATTAGAATACCCTGCGCCATCATCTAGAAACACAAGATGTACAACTTGCACGTATATGAACCTTTAATCATCTTAAAGCTGATTTGGATCAGGTTTGCTATCTCCAAATCTCATCACACACTCAGACTTCAAACCAGAGGTCAGATTCGTTGGCCACACAAAAGCCCAGACTCTCTGGAGCCGGGCCGGAGGGCTCCTGCGGTAAGTGTAAACTCATCAATGAGCAGCTTAATTAGGACTAATTGTTGACCATGATCTCCCCGTTAGCTGGCGTTTGAAGTGCAGAGCATATGCTCAGTCTTTGCTGACAGGTTGGGGGGGGTGGGGGACCACCACAATGTCGGGCTCTCATCAGGAATGTATAGCTCCTATGACTGTATACACACCATCCTCTGTGATTTAATTTAGTATGATTTGTTTGTATGGATTGGTTTGACTGGGCTCTGGCCTCATATCAGCTTTATATAAAGAGAGAATCAAAGCAGGAGATCCATACAATGAGTTGAGATAAGACTTTAACCTTAATGGACAACTCCCATCTCCATCAGCTCTTTCACCCAACCTCCTCCCACCTCAAGATTAAAGAGAGGATGATCTATTCATGTTGAACTAATCCTGCAATAAAGATACTATCATCAGCTTTATCTTTAAGATATCCAATGTTGCCACCATTGTAGCCAGGCCTGCATCTAATCGCTTAAATGTTATGTATGCAGGGCAAAGAAAATGCAGAGTCCAGTGCTGTAGTATAGAAGATAAACTTTATTCAACGATAAATAGACTTTTCTGTAATTTATATACAACTTTTATAACAAATATAATAAAAATCACACATCAAATAAAACAACTCTGGATTGCACTGGTTTGGATTCTAAGTGTTTCAGTCGGAAAAGTCTCAGCTTCACAGCTCTTCAGTAGAAATGTGGGCTGCGGATCATGCGGTGGTGAGGGGGCATCTGCTGCTGCAGGACCAGCTGCGGGACGGGGAGCGGGTAAAAGGCCGGGCCTGGGGCGGGGTAGTGGGGTGGCTGTCGGGCCATGCTGTGGTACTGAACCGCGGACAGAGGTTGGAACATCACCGGCGGGACTTGGGGAGCGAGGTAGTCCTGCACCTCCCGTTTGAGCTTCATCCTTCTGTTCTGGAACCAGGTCCTCACCTGAGAGAAAGCAAACATACAGAGTCAGTATAAGATGTGAGGCAGAGTTACAGACTCAGACATTAATTGGGTTTTAACCTGTGTGTTTGCACTGAGTCTGGTCTTACCTGAGTTTCTGTGAGGCTGAGCTTCTGCGCAGTCTTCACCCTCTCTCCAGCGTCCAGGTATTTGTGCTTGTTGAAGATCTTCTCCAGTTTGTCGATCTGGTCCGGGGTGAACTTGGTGCGGACGCGGCGCTGGGGTCCGTCTTTCTCGGTCTCGCTCCCCTCGTCCACAGAGAGACACTCAGAGGAAGCCGCCTCGCTCTCGTAGCCGGAGGAATAGCCGCTCATTTCTGAAACTGAAGAAAGGAAAACTCGGTTACAGATGCTGCTTGTGCATCAGTGCTGACATTACTGGTTTGAAGTTGGGAGTTTTAGACTACTTACTTGGTGAGGCGCAGCTGGTTGGATGCAGAGGTGAGCACAGGCTGGTGTCCTGACGCCCGCTGCTCTCCATGTGTTCAACGGGCTTTGATGCTTTGGGTTTTGGCTGAAGATAACTCTTGCCAAAGGTCGGCGGGCGCGGCGGCACCATGCAGGGAATATGTGGTCTGCAGGTCGGTGCGCTATCCGTGCCAGCACCGTGGTCCTCAGTCTGGGCGGTGTTGTGATGGCTCTGGGCCAGCCAGTCCACAGAAAAGTATTTCACCATGTTCGCAGAGCCGCTTAGTGACCTGTAAATCCAGCTAATGTCAGAGGGAGTGTGTGACTGCGGCCCCTGTCCAGGGTCGGCTTTTATAGGGCCCTGGCCCTTGCAGCGATTTGCATATGTAGAGGCCCTTGTTAACGCCTGATCGATCCCGATGATTAGGGGTTAATGGCTCGTTATTGAAGTCTTTACATATCCTGTGAGTGTGTGAAGACCTGGCGCCGCCGAGTCTGTGAGAACCCTCCTGAGCTCATACATTTGTCCGCCCGACTGAAACTGGGGGCCCTGCAGAAACAGCTGTATCTCCTGCAGAGGTGGAGACTTTCATGTTGCTGCTGCATACAGGAGTACCGGGGGAAAGGTGTCGAAATGTCTTATTAGGCCTGGTTCAGTTAAGGTTCTCATTTAAATCAAAGTGTATTCCTTCATGACTCTGTCTCTCTGAATGTCAGTGTCAGTTATCCAATAAAACTAAAAGCACAGGGATCACGGAGGGTTTATTTATCAAATCAGTGGCCTGAAGATGTCTGATGGGGGCTTTACTTGAGGATTTCCATTTTAGACTATTTCATAATTCTACTTCATTACATTTCAGGAGCTAATAATGCATTCCACTATGTTCATTTCACACCTATAATTACTACTTCTCAGATTAAGATGTTACACACAAATCATAATCAGTTTATGACATATAGTGCTTTGTTAATGATTAAAAATATAGATCAGTTATAACTTGCTTCACTTTCACCAACTACAACATTAAAGTACTGCTTACATATGAATGCATTGGTAATAATAATCCAACAATATTATAACAATGCCATGGGCTAAAGTACCTTATATTGCCAGGATTTGGAATGCAGTACTTGTAAAGAAGTCTTTTTATAATGTGGTGTTGCTTTCACAGTAAATGATGAATGCTGGGTATTATGACATTATCTTAAGGAGCTCCAAATGTCAGTGCTAATCAAGTCTTAATAACAGTGCTCTAATAAAATTCATTATGAAAGCACTTGGAATTGATCTATAAAGGATAATACAGGGGGAGTTGCTCATCATAGATTTGTCATTTGGCTGCTGCAAGCATGGTTCAGAACATTGAGTTCCAGGCTTATTTATCTCTCTGTCATGATGGAGGCACAAACAACAGGTCTATAACAGGCATTTAAATGATAAAATGGCCAAAAATGAATGATTTAAAGCATGGAAATTGTTCTGTTTCTGCACTATTGCACCACTCCACTGATTTCACTAGTGAAAACTCAATTGGGGAAACACAAGTAAACCTAAGCGGCTTGGTGTTGACATGTCTTGATACCCTGGTGAGTGCTGGCGCCAGCGTTTGGCACAGGCGCATCAAACATTACAGATCAAAGGTATTACAGTAGCAACACAATTACGGCTGATTGTCGGCCCGTTCACATGTAAATATGCTAAAACAAGCTGCGAGGAAGCTGGGAAAGCCCTGTGAACGCAAACAAGCCCATAGAAAGATCAGGTAATCCTTAAATTGACTGCATCGCACACCAAAGATTGCCCATATTACACAGATCAGATCCAAAGTAACATTAGGAGCATGCACTTTGACTCTTCACATGTGTAAACTGTAACATGATAACTGTCAGTATCACACCATGTTTATTAGCTGCCTAATAAACCAATGGACGTCATTCCGCCAGCCAGCGGCCAACCTGTGGGATCCGCGGCCCTCCTTCAGGGAGCTCTCTGCAGGCAGCAGCTCAGGGACAATGCCACTAAACTGATCGTTTAGTTATATGACAAAGCAGATAAGAGGCTGGGCCTGGTTGTCTCTTTTATCGGTGATCTGTCGCAGTGGAGGCAGGAGTCCCTTCAGTCTTTTGGGGCTCTTTATCTGTGAGGCTTTGAAGATGCGCCCTGATCCCGTTAGATAACAATAAAAAGCGCCCGGGACGTCGCCGCCACACTGCGCCTATTTCCTCAGCTCTGCCTGCATGGGCTCCGTCTGTCCCAGAGGAAAAGCTACAAGAAGTGACTGTATTCTAATTTTTACTAGAGCCTGGATAAAGCATCCAATAGGTAGTATTGTGTGTGCTGTTTGGAAGTGGCATAACATTTCTGTATTATTTATAACTCACATAGCAAATAAAATGAACACATTTTGGAGTTCCTGGTGTTTTTAAATGAGTCTCTTCAGGTTATTCATAAACAATATTCACTGTCCTGGAGACCCCAGGTCAGTGGTATAGGAAGTCAATCCTTAACTTAAGTAGAAGTATCAAAACCCCACTGGTTCTTACCAGTATGTATGTATGTAAGTATGTGTTACTGACATAATGTAGACCTACTTTATGTATCAAAATTATTCATTTGGCAATAGAATGGCCCCCATCCCAATGTATTATTTTATTATTGGGTTATAATTACCAATGCATAAACCTGTAGGAAGCACTTTAATGTATAAGGCTAAAGTGGTGCGAGGTACAGTAATTGATGTACTTGTTGTTGGATAGAGCTAATTACATAATTATAAGGTCTTGTCTGCAAAGTACCGGTAGCTGTCAGATAAATGTAGTGCAGCAAAAAGAGCAATATTTCCCACTTAAATGTAGTTAACAGAAGTATAAAGTAGCATGAAATGAAACAGATTTCACCACTGCCCAGAGCCCTCTTTAACAGCTCATTGCTTTATCACTTTGATATTTAATGACTTTTTCTAATTTTCTGAGAATGGCTTACAAATGTGATTTTGAATTAATGACATGTTTCAGAAGTCAGCCACTGAAAATGAAGCGTTTCATATTTTTGGGATTTGGGGTTTCAGACACTCCGGCTGTAAAATAATGGATTTTCATCTGCTGTAAAACTGTGATTAGAGTTGCCAGTTGGGCAGCACTGCTCCTCCCAAATCACAAATAAATATATTTTGATTTATGTTAATGAAGCTTTATAATAGTTTGTTCATAACAGGTCTATTGACCCCAAACACATTCTATGCAATAGCACTATGTATGACAACATACTGTACATTTCTTTGTCTGTAAATGACTGCAGACTGTGGCTGGATACTACAACAGAATGAATATATATTTGTTCATGCATAGTCCATACAGAATACAAAACATGAAATATGTTGTGAGTTGATGTAATAACAATGCTTTATGCTTGTTTCCACATTGAGTCCCTTTCATCAAATGTGCAAGCACAGTTTGAGACAAAGGGTTCTTTCAAAAGGAAAGAAAAATGCATTTTTATAATTATTGTTATGTTTACATATAGATGTTGAGTCTGTGAGGCCCCAAACACAGAGGAAATGAAGCCAACAGTCCTTGTAATCAGGTTTTGTATAGGCCTACTGACTTAAAATATGATGCAGCCATTACAACACAGCAAATCCTCCAGTGATAATTAAGAGGAAATGCCAGAAAGCACACTAATTTCACTGATGAAGTCATTACCATACACTTTAAATCCCCATAGGAGAGGAAGAGCAGCTTCAGCTCCTCCCACCACATTCCACATCTGCTGACAGATGTAACAGGGCTGTAACCTGCCATACAGCCAGTCTACCACGGGTATTGTCTGACAATAATACACTTTGGCAAGACGGGCTTATAAAATCTCATTTATTTGGCTAAATTAAGTGAATCTTCGGAGCATGTCACATTCCATCTCCACGGTGTGTTTCACGGCCGAAGACCATGGAAGAGAGAGAGCGGGCAGCAAAATAGAAAAATAGACACTGACTGAACATCATTCCTCAAATAACATTTTGCACACTGACATCTCATTATGTTCTATCATTTTTTGTGTAATGGCAAGGTATTGTCATGACAGTAAGCTTGTCTAGCTTTGGGCCTTTACAACACACTACTGAGAATAAATGCAATTATTTCACATTGTGCTGTTTAAATTGCATTAATATTAGATATTAATTTACCAATCTAGTCATATGAATCTCATTTGGTGAAACAAATAGAGACTACGTGTTGTACATTAAGCAAAATATATGATCAATAAACAGTTATCTTGTTTCCTACAAGTCCGACACGATTCAGCAACATCAAATACATGTTATTTAAATGTCTGACATGGCTGGATTAACCTGTTCGGGGCCTAAATCAGCTGCTAGGTCCCAATTTACCCCCCATTCTATCCCCTTTCTCTGCAGTTTCTGTGCTGGAATGAAACATGTCATCAGGTTTGCTATGTGGTGATATGATTGAATTGAATCTAATCTATGGATATGCACCTTCTAAGCACAGTATCAGCTGAAATAATAAAGGTCTAAAGTAGATCTTGACCCAAGACCATTCTTCCAGACAGGGCCTCAAGATTAGGTAACAAGGCACTCACACACATCATAAGGATTCTTTTTCTAGCATTACCGGCTCTAAGAGACTCCAACCACACTAACTATATGTGAGGCTATATTAAAAGGCAGATTTAGACCAAATCAGGTGCTGCAGCAAAAACACTTCTTCTCACTTTAATTTTGGATGCATTGAGGCCGTGGTGGTGGGGGCCACAGGGCATGCTGGAAAAACAACAAAAACGCATGCAGTGACCTGCGGTGAAGAAGATGAAACAGAATCCAGAGAGAACTCCAGAGTCAGCTTAAAATATCAGTGGAACAGGCACCATCCAGGCAGAGTTCATGGACCAAATGTGTCCTCGCTTTCACTATCTAATTTTGAGTTTGCTTGTTTGAAGTCCTACGTCACTCGTGTCAGTAGCTGTATCAAGGCGCAAAAACATTAGTTTCACTTTTTACAAAGAAAAGGAAATTGTTTTGCACAGTTCTACCCCTACCTCTCAAACACAAGAAAGGATTCTATAATTTGATCAAGAAAATATATTTTGCAGGTTTTTGTCTGAGAAATAAAGGAATTGTTTTCAGTCAGAATTTTTATTCAATCTCATTTTGTTAAAAAAATTCTGAGAAAGTCACATCGTGAAACCAGTATTGTGAATTGTATCGAAGTTGAGTGTATTGTTACATCCCTACATGTTAGCATACTAACATTTGTGAATTAGCAGTAAACACATTATTCGTTGTGCAGATATTAGGTCAGAAACCAAAGTAACAAAGTTGTTAAAATGTATCCTGTGTGGAACGTGATAACCTTATTATCACATTTCATGGCAATCCATCCAAAACCACAAAACCATGAATGTGAGAAACATAAAGGGAAAGTCAAGAGGTCATCAAAGTCAATACGTCTTCTGCTGACCATGAATATTTGAACAAAATATCGACGTTGACCGACACTTCTACAGCCATGCAGCATTCTAAAAAAGTAGCATTCCACCTAAAGGCCCTCAGCAAGTTAGTTGCTATCGTGCAACACAGTTGCCCACTTTGGTATGTTGGTATCCAGCCTTCAGTCCATGTATGATCATATATAGGCCTTAACAGCTAAATTACAGGGTAAATTCACAAATGATGATTAAAGACATGTCAGCATATGAGCGCAGGAAGAATCATTGCAAATTACAAACATACTTCTCTGTGTGGAAGAAAAATGCTATTATTAAAATCAAACAGAAACTACGTGTGATCGACAGCAGAACCTGTGTAATATTAAAGGTGTGAGTTACAAATAAAGTTTGTCCGGTAGTCTAAACTGATATTATTGACTTAATGTAAGGGGCCTATGACAAATAGTGAACATATAACAGCACAAAACGTTTTCCAGTCCACACTGCTCGGTTGCCAGGACAGCACAGGCATCTGTGGGTTGTGGCTTGAGCATGGACTCTCAGTCTGGGCTTGGACATGGGGTGTTGACCTGGTTGTGTCGTCTCACTCTGGGTTGTGAGATGTGACTGGGTCAGGGCTCACTGGAAAGTGGCCTTAACCCTCCTCAGCGTGTCTTGGATCCTCCGTGTTTGTCGCTCGCTGGACTGCTGGAAGTTAGCATCGTTGTCGGCGGCCAAGAGGTGGATGTCAGAGGTGGCAAGTCGGGCGATACGGCGCCGAAGGTAGGCCTGCAGCTCCCGGTCCGGGCTGTGGGGGTACACAGCCTCCTGGAAGGCATGGATCTGACTCACAACCTTTGCTATGCTCCTAGAGCCACAGATGGGTGGATGAGAGGATGGAGCAACATGAAATGGGAATACAGAAAAAAGCAAAAGTGAAAATATGAAAATAATTCATATCTAGGTGCATATTATACCAGCGGTTTCGTCTGAGCAGCATCATAAGCTCTGCCTGTGACCTGATTTGGAGGGAGCGGGGGTAACCCTGGGTCCACAGTAACCAGCTGTGTCTCTGCCTTTCCCTGCTAGATCTCCTGACCTCAGCATCTGGATACAGCCAGTCGCCTCTCAGCATCTGGCCCGAAACCTCTTTTCCAATCAAACCCCATCCCACGGCGCCATCTGGTGCAACACTGGCACCTTTACCAACAACCCAAATTCAACAGCTGTGCCATTACCATCCAACCGCCACTTGCTGTGACCTCAGCATCTGGTCAGCCATATTGGAGTGAAGGAGAAGGACACGGGAAAAAGCGTCCTCATAGTGAGTTGGCCGACTTTGTCATAGATGGATACTTGGGATATGGGGAGAGAGCTAATTATGTGTTAATGACACTGTTAATATATTGTGTCACTGCAAGGATAGACATCAGGCTAATTTTACTGGCTGTAAGCACGTTTCATCAATATCACACCTCTAACGAAATAAAATGAGTGCAAATTCCAGCATGCGGTAAAATCATGGTTGTAATGGTAGAGGAAGGGAGGGGACTGAGCAGCCAGGTCGTTTCCACTTGTTTCTCAGCTCAGGAAGTTCTCCACAGAGATGTTTTGTCTTTTAACTTCCTGTCTACACCAGGAATGGGAATGATCACTTTGTATCTACATTTTGACAAGTATTGGACCAGTTTTACAACATAATACATGGATCATGTGATTAGTTAAAAGCCGCAGTAATTAGTCAGAATGCATTGGTATTTGTGTTTTTCTAATATGTACACGTAAAAATAGGACATCATAACAGAAAATGTCTGTGTGGCAATAAAAACGTGTGCCAACACATTTCTTCTTCCAAATTGCACAGTGAGTGGAGACTCATTTGGTTTTTGATGTTTTTGTATACACTGTTACACTACACAGGATTTTCCATACCATCAAATACCTGTTTGAGGTTCAACAAATCAGTCCAGCTTTCCATGACATGGACTTATTATTCCAATAATTAATTAATTACTATTAAATTTAATCAATACTGTTAATAATTAATAGATTGAAATTCCATAGGGCGTGTGGAGGTAACTCATTTTTCTTCCCTTTGTTTTATAAAAGTTGTATCCTGTAACCACTTATCTTGCAAGCAGTCAGATCAGAGGGACAGTAAGAATGCAAATGTTCATTGCACTGCTAATTATATTTTTCACATTGAGCTGTCAAGTCAAGAAACAAAGTAAGCCAGTTGAAGATGACACCACTAAAGATAGTCTTGTTATTCGATATCTGCGGTAGATGTGGTGGTGTCAGGTCGTACGAACAACAAAACCGTCAACGTGTGTTCCCAATGTTGAGGAATTTATAGTCGGCTGTGCGAACTGATCAGGAGTGAAGAATCCTCTTAACTGTAGCTGGTAACAGAGACTGGAAGCTAAGAGATAAAAGCAGAAATGGAAGGGACAAAACAATGGCCGATTCCTACCGACCAACAAATGATGCAGACTTCCCCTCACCTGAGCTTGGGCCACTTGTAAGCTCCAGTAGTAAGTGTGAAGGCTCCGATCTCCAGCTGCTGGACGTGCATGGCCAGGTGTGCACTGAGGGCAGGGTGGGCCTCCTCCTCGTGTGTTCTCCCCCCATCAGACACAGGTCGTCACTCTTCAGAAACACCTGAGGAGAGAGCAATTTCTCCGCACAGTAAATAAATTAGTTCTTACTGGAATAGAACATTTAGAAAAATTCCAATTAAGCCAAAGTCTCAGGTGCTTGACGCAGTAATAAGCGTGTCCAATGTAGCGGTGTAATATGATTGAAAGACTCTTAGAGGACTTTTTTCAACAAATTTAACCTCTTTACATTTCAAAACCAAGAGAGCGTACGCTCGTTTCTCTTAATTACAGTTAAATAGGAAAGTTGCTAAGAGAGTGGTGCATAATGTTTGATGCATCAGGTTCTTTCGAAGGTAACTTTCAGAAGCAGAGCCAGCTGTAAGCCCTCAGCACACAGCAGAGTTGCTTGAAGCTGTTTTTCTATTGATTTGTTTGCCCTGCAGCCCAGTTTCACAATATGTGACCAGCCTAGCCTTCAGTTACAAACAACATACGTGTGTGCTTGCTCAAACACACCCACACACACACATACACACACCTGCACGGCCCGTAGCTCCTCCAGGATTTCACACACCTTGGAAGACAGATGTTTCCAAGCCTGTTGGCAACAGAGGAGGAAGTTTTATTTAGTAGCTCTGAAAGAGAGATTGCAATGCAACACGAGTCAAAGAATATAAACCGCTTTCAGGTGGAAATATGAAAAGTTCTTTCATTTTCTCAATACTATTTTCTTTTAATTGTGAGCTTTTTCAATTACTCCTATTCACAGCCTACATTCCTCTTCACTGCACTCACACTATCTACATCTTATTTGAATGCATTCATGCTAATTTCTCATTTGTGAAACTAATTAAACACCAACCCGTTCTATCACAGCTGAAGAAAACATTTAGCTCGAGGGCATCTGACTTAATACAGAAACTCACCACTTGTGTGAGGAGGAATTTATGAGATGCAGCCTTACCGGTAATTGCCTGACAATCACATTCTCCAGACCTCCAAGGACCTGCATGGCTGTGGCAAAGTTCCTTGATTCGTAGCAGTGTTTTCCTATCCACAGATACTTGGTCAGCAAAGCAACTTGTGTCTGCAACAGAGTAGAGCTAGCAATAAAAAACTGCTAAACAAGGCGAAATGCAAATGCTACAGTGGTCTGCTTTTCTAGAGGAGGCTGGATAATGAAGCATGTCCTTTGGAAACAATAAAAATACTATATGTTGTCAAGGTTATGGATGCATTGTTCACTGGTCAATGCAGGTGTGCTCGGTTATGCTGAAAAATGCAGATGCAAACACTGGAAATGTTAAAATGCATCTGAGGTGTTAATTGGGAGCTATAGTTTAGGTTGGAGCACTGATACATTAAAGATACATATGAAGTAACTATGAGTGCAATACAACATTATTGGATTCAACACAATGCGATTTTATTTTATTTTTTATTTCTTTGGTTGCTCTTAAGCATCTTGAGAAATGGTTTAGAGAGGAAGAATCAATCTAAAATTAAAATCATTGGTCACAATTTTAAATAATAAAGGCATAGGGCCTTAAATATAAATAAATCAGAGAAACGATGAATTCTGAGATCATCCCAAATTGTATCCAGTGCACACTTTCTTAATCAAGTTTTAGTCAAGCATTATCAGCTTTTATGTGGGTGTATCGATGCAAATCATTAAATGTTACCATCCCTAGTCTTTACAAGTGAAGACCCAAAAGCAGGTGAAATCAGCTGAAGTGTGACTGCTGAGACTTTGTAATTGAAATTTTGTCTTTAAGCACTGAAAGCAGTTGAACTGTCATTTAAAGAGGTGACAGCAGTTAAATTGCCATTAGTTTGAGTACGAAGTGTCAGCTGGAGTATTCGAGCTGTCATGTCAGTATGAAAGATGTGAATGGATGCACAGATGTTGTAAATGAGCGCAACATTTCAAAGTTTGAATGGTGGGTGAAAGCAGGAGGAGATATTTTATTTATCTATTTAATCTATTTTTCATGAATTTCTCAACGTTTTGTAAGACACAAATGACAGCTTATGGGCCATGGGTTTGAGTCTAGCCTCTGGGCTTTTGCTGCATGTCGTCCCCTTTCTCTCTCCCCCGTTTCTTGTTGCTCTACAGCTAGCTCTATTAATTAAAGCCAATAAAAAATGCCCCCCAAAAAATACATAATTAAATAAAGAACTGTTTCAGGTTTCAGACCCATATGTTCTTGTTCCCTAACTGTCTATAAACCATTCAACCATGAGACTAGGGAATCAACAGAAAGCACACAGTGGGAAATTCTGTGACTGACATGAGAGTCTGTGTCTGATGAGAAATCAAAGCCCAAGCTGTGACAGTAATGGCTGCCTTTTTTCCCAGCTGACCCTGTTACTTTCATGAGTTATGTCTCTTCTCACCTTGACGGAGTCACAGATGACTATTTCAGCAGAGATCCAGTTAGTGACACTGTCAGCATAAGTGAGCAGCTGCTGGAGGTAGCTGTCTGACTGCGTCCCCTCACATACAAGCAAGCTGCTGCCCTCTGCTGGCGGGGTGTGCTGAGACACATTCCTGATGGGGGAAAAAAAATCAATACAGGAAGTTATTACTGAAGACATAATAAATTGATTAGTTTATTACCAGAAAACTAAGTGCCAGAAACTTTGATAACTGATTAATTATTTTAGTCATTTATCTAGCAAGAATGGCAAACATCTGCTGGTTGGAGATTCTCAAATGTGAGGTATGCTTCTTTTCTCTTTTTTATGCATTCAGGTTTTCAACTGTTGGTTGGAAAATTGAATAGGTATTTTTAACATATTTTATCTATATACAGTATGATACTAATAGAATACAATAGATTTCACCACATTTTACAAAGGATATACAGCATAAATCAGGGGACAGAAATTACCTTCAACCATTGGCCACAGCATTATTAATTTTACAGGCACGGATTCTGATTTAACTGCCTTTTTGTATCCAAGGTAATTTCACCCCATTTTTAAGCAAGGACTAAAAGAGAACAGCAGCTTATGATTGCTGTACGACTTACACAAAATGTGTGTTCTGTCTTGCACTTGAGACTAGCGATGTAATTAAAAGACTGTCAACAGCCTAGTGGCCTGCATCGTTTATGGATGAATTAAAATGCTGTTGTTGTTATTGTCGTATTGATACTGAGTGGTGCAATTAAGTAAACTAAAGTAAGAAGGTGCCTTAGAAAAAAATGTCATCAGCATGATATTTTTCTTGGCACCACCAATAAATTGACATTCTGTTTGGGAGACACACAAATCTGTAACGGTCAAACAGGCTAAAGCTATTGAATTAAAAGAGTTTGAATGCAAGGGGACTTGGGGATTATGCTTTTTTTTAAATTAAATTAGTTATTTAGTAGTTCATTATATGCACCTAGCAGTGTTCTAACAGGCTGGCGTAGAACGAGGCACAGTAGTCTCATGCATCTCTCTTTATGATTATTGTTAAGTCAAGTACATTGTTATCTATAGATTTATTTACTTTTGTCTTTTTGGACCATCTGGACCACTATACATTATAGTCTATCTGTCCGGCAGATGCAGCTGCAGCTACATAATGACAGTTCACTGTTCCTTTCACTGTACACATGACGCACACGTTACCAAGTCAGCCGAACCCTGCATACTGTGCTTTGTACATACAGAATGTGGATGCTAACATAGAGGACATCACTGAATGGAAAAGGATGTGAATTAAATGTTATGGCCTTCAGAGTCACAGGCTTTTAACCCAAGTGAAACCAGGGGAAATTTGGTTTAATCAAAATACCAAATGAGGGCATATTTTTTAGCCAGTAGAGACTTGGAGAATCTTTTCTAAGGAGAACCGAAGCTGTTCTGGAGGCTTGTGGTGAAACAGCACCTTACAAATAAAGTTTCTGATGTTTTTTTCTTTTGATTTGTCACCCATTTATATGTGACATAAGTAAAGCTGGTGATATTATACTCACTTGTTTGGGGTCAAGACTTTGTCCCTGACTCCTTGTATTCTGGATTTGAGCAAATGAACTGGATGACATCCTTGAAACATTTCCTGTGTCACAAAAGGTACAACTTCAATATTAGATCAGGACTTGACATATTGATAATACTACTATGCATTCATAAGGGAATGTCTCCCTCTAGTGGTGAAAAGAGACAACAACAACTTGAGTGCAAGGTGGCGGTGTGCACTGAGCAGTATGTGTGCGTGCCTGCTGCAGGAGGGTGAGCTGCTGGGCTATGTGCTGTGCGCTGTATTCATTCTGGCTGAAAGGGAGTCGCTCTTCACTGTGCAGGCAGACGTTGGAGAGGTCATCCACCATGGAGCCGTAGCAAGGCACAGGCAGGGCCGCAGCAATGGAGAAGGCCTTCTCTTTAGGCAGGGATGCAGAAGGCTCCACTACTCTTGAGAATCTCCACTGAAGAGTCGAGACAGAGAGATGTGACAAGAGAGGATACGTGCTCTGAATTATATAAACACAATACAGTAATAGAGGAAGGAAGGCTGTTTTGTATGTCATGCAGGGTTCAGTGAATAGCAGCGAGACAGTAGAATCAATAAATTAGATTTTGTATTTAAAATACAGTTCACTCATCACCAGAAAGTTCTGCTGCAATAAATCTTCTCTAAATAAAAACCTAATAGATTCTGCATATGTCCCCAAATTAATTTTAGGGTATGGATTTTGGCAGGACTTTTGTTGCCCCCGCAAAAGTAAAAGATCAGTCCAGAAAATCAACAAGGACTGAACCTGCTGTTAATACATAGCATCAAACTGCAAGATTAATAGTTTCTATTGTATTGTATTTAGGGCTGTGTATTGTATGCTGTGTATCATCTGGCGATACGATATGTATCACGATACTGGGGTTACTTTTCAATATATTGCAATATATTATGCTACTGTAAGCAAGGTGATACATTTTGATTTTTTTAAAAGATCACTTTAGTTTTATTTTTGATGATAGAGGTAAAGGATAGATGAGAGCATTTACAAAAACAAAGCATAGCATAACTTGTCACCATTTTATACTGACCTTTCTCCCAAGATCCTCAGTAGATGAATGCACACACGTAGAATCATCTTCTTCCTCAAAGCTGATCAGGCTCCATCTTCCTTGGCTCCAACTCGTACATGGGGGGCTGTGGAGAGCAGCAAGAAGGGCCTCCCCTCGGCTTTCAACAGGAATCACCTGTGCAAAAACAAAACGCAGAACTACAGAAAGTAGACACTGTGCATTTCATGAAGAGTTCATCTTATACCAAAAGCATGTTTTAATTGATACATTTTGCTAGGCTCTCTTATAGAAGATTCTGCACTGGTATTTTGAATTGTATACTTCATGAAATCTTTGACTTTTGCTGCTCTAAATGCCAGTGACTTTTCACCCATGAACTATGTTGACACACAATAAATTTGGCGCTTACAACTGCACAAACATGGATTATAATTAACAGATGAAGTGTGTAGGTGGCATGAGAAAACTGCCACCTTTAGGAGCTCAAAATGCCAGGGTAAAACACCGTTTGTCACAGTGCAGCCATTTGACTGACAGGTCATCTCTGTAAAGTGCTGAGCAATATGTACGCTTTTGTGCTTACCTCAGTATTAAGGAAGTTTTCTACTGTATCCACAAGGATGGACTTAGGTGTGAAGTCCACCTGTCTACAGTCTGTTATCCAGAACTGGAGCACGTCCAAACTGCGATGGAAGATCTTTTCGCTGTCTCCTGACATGTCTGGCCCTTGTCTGGTGTAGAACAAACATAATCACACAATTAGTGCAAGTTTACAAGAGAGGCTGGACAGGAGAATCCCATGGGTTTTTTTTGGCATACTGTTCTGTATTCTAGCAGTTTCTCTATGTAAACATCAGCTACTAAATATACAGTACCTTGCAGCACTGATGAATCTATCCATTAAGAAGTGCAGTAACTGCTCAGGAGTGCAGAAGAAACGGTAGGTATACAGGAACTGCTGGATGTAGCCCTCCAAAGCAGCATTTCTGTGGTGAAAAGGAACATACTGTAGTGCCACTGAACAGTTCAGAAAACAACACAGTTCAACACCATTCAGTGAAATGTATTATTATACATTCCACTACATATTGAAGGTGCAGTAGGTAACTTTAAAAAAATATATATATGTCATATATTATCAAGCTTTTGCTATATGCAGACAGTAGTACATGAAACACATAATCTGTGAAAAAAAATCAAGCTCCTCTCGCTTCTCCTCGTATTCCTAATGAAAAGAATCCACCGTGCCTGAATGAAAACAACACATCAGAGTCGAGAAAGATAGTTGATGGTTGAGTCTCATTCCTGGATACTGACACTTGACCCGAAGCAGTTATTTGACGACCTGGGAAATGAAATAACAATCAACTATCTTTCTTGCCTCTGAGTGTTTTTTTCATTGAGATGAGGTGGATTCTTGCAATCTTTTTAAAGATTATCTGTCTCATGTGCTACTGTCAGGATAAAGTAAAAGTTTCAGCAAATGTGATAAAAAGTTATTTTGTTTTTAAGCGTTACCTACTTCAGCTTCAAGGAATAAACACATGATTAACAGACAATCATCTTTTCTTTTTAGTTCCTTATCGTGGTCATTCCTTAACCTTCTTCTGGTGGACCTTTCTCTCTTACTCTCACCATGTGGGAAAGGCAATGAAGGAGATGAGCCTTGGGCATCCATGCATAAATGGTGCCTTCTGGGAGCAGTCGCGTCATACCGAAGTTCTCGAAAATCACAACATTGTCACTGGGTCTCATGAGCTGCCAGACAAATGGGAATTCATGAAGATCCCCTTTGTTCAGGGGCGTAGGTTTGGTTTGGTTTCAGAACCAAACACAACAAAATCAGAGATTCTATACCAAAAACAGAACAAGTACGTATATACATAAAGACTTTCTGTAATAATGCTAATACATTTACTAAGCTGTTAAATAAGCCACCTTTTGAGGACATAAACTGAAAAAAAGCCTCATAAATGCCTTTTTGCCTAAATTGAGCTTTTTTAAAAAATGTAAGTATATATATATATATAGTACTATATATAGTACAGTTTATGAACCAGACGAAGAGTCAACAGCCACGTAAACAGCTCTGTTGGCAATGCTACCAACCATGATCACCATCTTAGTTTAGCATGTTATCAACAGTTAGCAATTAACACCAAGTACAGCTGAGCTTGATGGGAGTGTCATTTATTTGAAAGGTATTTGGTTATAAAACAAATATTAAATTAAGTAAATTGTTGACCTGCTTAACTTGCTGCTAGCATTGCTAAAAACATCCCAGACACCAGCAGTACATTGCTGTGAAACGAGCTGTAATGAAAGTCCTTATTTTAGGAAAAACATGTCTGTAGTATAAATAATACCATCAAGGATGTTCTTCAGTTTCTTGTGAAATCTCCTTGTTGGCCAGATCAAAAGCAGCAGGGAGGATAAATAATCTAACACGGGAAATGGATCACATGAGCTGCACACCGCTTTGAGACGCCATCAGGATTCATACAACCTCATGACTTGACCAGAGAAAAGCTTTGGATAGCACATTTCTAATCTTAAGCCTCATCAATAATACCTGGCGTAGAGGTAAGCCATGAGACCCAGAGGAGATCCAGCTTGCAGAGTGCTCTTCCCTTTGCTGGTACCAAAGCTCAGAACAGACGGGTCCTCAGAGGACTGGAGGTCCAAAGAGTCGGGTCCACAGACAGCCAAAGGAGGCAGTAATGAAACCTCCAAACCCCACTGGTCCACACTTAGAATCTGCAGAAATACAAGAAAGCATATCAAAGGTTGGAAGCTGTAAGATAATGAATGAGAAATAGCAGTATTGGGAATTGTAGAGCTCTGTCAGTACCTCAAGGTATTTCTTCACACAATCCAAGAAGACCACTTTGGACCGGAGTTCTTCAAACTGGGACTTGAGTTTGGACAGCATCAGTTTGCTCTCAGAACCTTTTGGACACATACACTGTTTTATAGATCATACTGGAAGCTTCACGTGGCATTTGCGTATACTAGCAGTGTCATGAAACAGCTACCCAACCTTTGTTTTTTCGCTCTTGTTGAATCAGCTTCTGGTAGAAATTTCTCGTTTTCTTCAGATTCCTTGTTTCAATTATCAGCTGCTGCTGCAGTTCCTGTTCAAAGGGAATCACACACAATCATATAAAAGGCCCTAAAATAACACCACATGCCTTTCGTTGAAAGAAGCCTTTGGGTATTTCCACTCTGTGTGCGGAGCAGCATTTTGTTGCTCTCTTCACCGCGGCAACAGTGCGCAATGGATCTTTTGAAGTGAAATGAGTGAGAAGTCACAGCAGCACGGCTCTTAAGGTGTGTTATTAGCTGTTGCACAAACAGTGGTGCCATCAAAGTGCGCAAACACAAAGACTATTCATTAATATTCTTTTACAAATTTTAATAACCTTCTCTGCCAAGGGCTAAGTTCATCACATTGATATTCAGATCCAGTTAGGAGAGAATATTATGCCAATTATCTTAAAGTTCCCCCCGCATGCTCTCGTCCCAGTTACCCCAAATCCTGACCGTGCCCCGCTCTATTACAAATTGGAAAATAATTCCTGTACTTATTCATGAAACCAAAGCAGGTGAAGGGCTGAATGGAACTAGGAAGTGAGACTGCATTCAATATGCACTTGGATCTAACATAATACATGGATAAAATGCACAAAGAATGGAAATGAAACCACTGAATGAAATCACAAAATAACATTTTCAATCTGCAGTGTATAAACAAACTATATACAAAGTAATGAAACAGAGACTGATGATTGTAGAGATCTCTTCAGTAGAAATGTATCGGTTGTGCTGAAAACCTTTTCTTCCTTTTTAAAGCATCCAGAATATCAGCTTTTGCATTAATATACACTACTCTCCCTCCTACTACTGCAACATGCATTGCATAAAAAAACCCATACGTTTTGTTAGTGTAATAGAATGTGATAAATAAATCAGCTGATTCACGCAGTCTGCTGTTTGTTCAAACACATTTGGGTTAAGGTCAAATATGACTCACAGGCAGTAAGCTTTACAGGTTTACCCACCTGTGTTTTCACATCCAGACACGGTGAGCCTGTGTGCTGCCCCAGATTCACTGCATACTGGATCACCTCTGGACTAAAACAATCCTCTCCAAAGAAGGCTAAGGCCCAGGCTGGGCTGAAGCTGAGGCCCCGTCCCTCTGCTCTGAATCCAGGCGAGAGGAGTCGCTCTGATGCCAGAGAATCACTGTCCTCCATGTCTTCCGAGCAGTCCGGGCTCATCTGCTCGTAGCAGGATCCCGTCAGGCCCTCCTCTATCCCAGACAGAAACTCAGCTTCAGAGGGGCTTTCATCGCTGCCCCCTGCTGAATGATCTCCTCCCTCCATGACCCCTATGTCCAAACCGTACGTGCTCATGCCTAGACCAGTAAACAGGGAAATGGAGACAGAAAGGGGCAATGGAAGAGAAAGAGAGAGGGACTGAATCACATGGAGAGCGGAAAAAAAAAACTAACTGGATTTGTGTATAAAAACACATAAAGAGATCCGAGGGTGGTGCTGGGGTATCTGTTGCTAACCCTGTCATGGCTGCACAATGCATCCACTGTTTAACAGATGAGCCTAAAGGCAATTCAAGCTCAACTTCTTATCTATCTTTTTTTATCCACAGTTTGTAATAACCCCCCCCATGTCGAGCACATTTTAACAGCACAACAAACGCAGATGCAAGGGTGTGAGTGTGTGTGTGTGTGTGGTTGTGAATGTCATTGGCCAGGAATGGGGTTTCAGAGGAAATCTTTTGTTTGCTAGCATGCCTTGGACTCTTATGAATGTGCTTCAATCTTAAGAACAGCATCCAACAGCCAGTCACAGCTCTCATGACTTCAACCAGCAGCCAAATAAAGTGAAATATATCAAAACATCACACATGGTTTGGGGTTTTTTTTTTCCTGAAAGCAATGTTGAATCTACTATCAAATGCAAATCCCCAAAAACCTAAAAGTAGTTTGTTTGAGGAGGAATTAATTAGCAATTAAGTAAAAAAAAAATATATTTATTTAGGTACAAATTTGAAGTACTTGTACTTTACTTAGAAGTATAAAGGAGAATGAAATGGAAATACTAATACAATTCAGAGGAAAATATATATATATATTGTTTTACTTAACTATGTATATTTATCTGACAGTTTTAGTTACTAGTTATCTTACAGATTGTGAAAGATTATACATACAAAGCATATGTTGCACTGTTATAGGTTAAACTACCTAATAGCATATTAGTAAAAACATGCTCTTTATTGACATGCTACAACATAAAATGCTACTTACCCATAAATGCATCAGTAATAATATTAAATAAAAGAATAGAACAGGGGCCAATTTCTGCATTTTTAGTATAGTAAAGTATATTTTACTAATAATGCTGACAGCTTTACTTTTCACTTAAATGTTAAGTGAAATACTTGCAATGAGAGTATTTTTATGTTGTACTACTGCTACTTCAGCTTAAGTGAAATATCTAAAAACACATCCACCACTGCAGTGCAGTTACACAGTTAAACTGCGTTTTCTGTTTTTAAAGGTTCAATTTTAGTTCTTAAATATTACCATTTAAATAACCTCAAAATGAAATGGCTTTGATCTTTGTCTAAATAAAAAAACATTCAAGTCTATCTCCTACCTTGATGGATACAGTGTTGACTCTCCTCCGTTCTTAATTCAAAATCTTCAAGCGTAGCCTCATTTTCTCTGTGACAGGATTGGGCCTCGGTTCCTTCCCAAGAATCCACAGCATCAGGACTGGACGTGTGAATGTTTCCATTCAGGTCGAGACAACCATGCAGGCAAACTTCCCTCTTCCCTCCCCAGACAGCGGCTATCAAGGGTTGGGTAAGAGCTGCCCTTTTCACAGCCTTTGATGGAGGCTGCTCATTAGAGCCACTGCAGGAGGCGCATTAGGAGAGAGAAAACACACACAGTGCGCTGAAAGCTAGCGACAATTAGCACTTATGTAAAGAACAATGCCAATCATTTGCAATTAAGTATGCAATGAAAAGCACAATTGGACAAAAGAACGGCAAAACATAATAGCTAACAAATTTCACAGATGAGCAAGGATCCAGAATATGCCTTAAAACCTTTACAGCTGTGGGCATTTACTGATGTTTACTGATTTAATGCAAAAACACAGCAGAACACACAGTCGCTCATAGAAACAATCACTGAGGACCAAACAAGAAAGCCAAAGACTCATTTCAAACATCTTGCAGCTTGTTGCTCACATCTTGCAGATCAGATGCACTTGCACATCACGTCAGTCCATAAAATGTTATTGCGCCCGGAAAGGACACCGTCAGTTCTTAGCCCATGTCAGAGTTGGAATGGACCATCCCTCAATAGAAAGGCTACAGTCCTCCCTCTATCCCCTCAGAAAAACAATGGAAAAAATAACCCTCCACAGCTGAGCCCTGAAAACCAGCTCACTGCCAGAGGTAGACTGTCTATCACTCTGGATGGCTGTGATGTCTCCCTACCACAGCAGATTAAAGGGTCTCTCCACATATTGCCCTGAGCATAAGAGCATGGCAACGCCTGGATAAAAAGATGTCTGCGAGGACTGACATGCGTCCGTCCCTCTGCTTGTCTCTCTTACTTACATTTAAATGAAGAGAGAAGGGCAAAGCATGGAATTTGTTACCTTCATTCTATGTATTCAGTCATGCACTTAAGCCCCACAGGGCTACTTGTCAGCATATCAGTAACAATGCAGAAGAGGCTTTACATGTATCTTTAATGTTGCGAGACATTCTCCCCAGCACTAACAAACATACTGCGAAGCCGTTACCATAGGAACCATTGAAGCTGCAAGCTTATGTATGAAGTGCATGCTCATTTGAATAGTGTGTATGGGTGTGATATGTAAGTGTGCAGAGGAGGACAGGTCATGATCAGTGAGGACTGGATCATCCTGTGTGCCTCTTCTTCAGAAACACACAGAAGAATAAATTAAAAACCTGACTATAAGCAGCCAAATGTAGGCATCTCATTGTTGAGACGGAAGCACTGGCTGTTGTATTGTTAACAAGATATCCTTTATTTAATTTGGGGTAATTATTCTGACACCAAAGATAATCTCTTTAACTCATAATGTAGGATAATTGTGCTGATTTGATTCATGAGACAACCCAGTCCCTGAAAAACATAGTCATTTATTTTAAGGATTAAAAACTGATAATAAAACCTCTCACAATCTAAAATGCACTGTGGTTGATGTATGAAGTCATTTAAACTGTAATACATATCTACCTTTTAACACAGAGTTGACACTGGAACAACACCAAAATGATGTTGTTGTGGTGTGTTGTAAAGCCTGTCACTATTTAAAAATTGAACTGTACTAAACCGATCTGTTCTCCAACTGAGCTTCTGTAGTTTATTTTGATGTGTTAAACTGTGGTGTGAAACATGTAATTTCCAGTTCAATGGTGTTGTTTTAAAAGGACTGCATTGCCATTATCAGGTACAGGTAGCCTGATAATCACAGTGAATTTGCATTTTATTTTCACCTGGTTATTTTTTGAATCTATTAAAGATCTGCAAATTTGAGATGTGGGCAGAGATTTACATCTGAAACCAGGCCACAATCAGCTGCAACCAGCAGATGGATATATCAACATCATATGAATTAGGGCTGTAACTATCAACTGTCAATCAGTTGATCTGCTGATCATAATCCAATTCTTCGAGTGAAATGCTCAAATGTCTAGTAAAAAATACCCATACACCAACAGTATTCAGTTAACAATTAAATATATAAAATAGAGGAAAACCTTATTGTTACCTTTGTGGAGCTGGAACCAGACAATGTTTAGCATCACACAACAAACAACTAATTGATTCTTAAATAGTTATTGTAATTAATCAACCAATCATTTCAGTTTATATGTATTTCTTTTAAATAAAAAAATACAAAACACATGCTTAAGTAATGCAAAACTAAACTTGAGATTATTTAATGCATAAAACTGGTAGTCAGATGCAAACACCAACATGTTGCTGCATGACATTCGGCTTAAACATCCCGACTGGTCCTCCCCGGATTGGTCAGCTGACACCTGCTAGATGGTTTTAGTGCTCGTGCGGCACTCCACTTCCTTCAACAACCATAAAAAATATGGATCATCCAGATAAATGACGATGTTTCCATCTGACCCCCAGTTTGATAAAAATAGCTTCATGTTTCTATAACTGGTAATGTTCTGCTTTCACAGAGGATGATCAAATGCTTGGCTCTTAGCCCTTTTCTTTATAACTGAATTCCAGCTAATTTGGTGGCATATAAATTAATGTATGAAGTAACTGTTGGTTCACATTCACAATCTGATGATTTGATAATTTCTTAATAGTGAGCAACATTAATGATTATATCTGTATATGATCATCCTGCAATTCATTCATTAGTTCAGCATTACTCAGGCGTGTGATTTGTTGCCTAATTATAAAGTGTTGCTGATTTATGTCCCATTTCAGCAGGATGTACATCTCACTGCAGAGCTAGACCTTTCAGCCTGCCCTCTTTACTGAGTACAGTTACTGAAGAGAGCAGTGGACCAAAGCAACAAGCTGTGCCTCTGGCTACATTGACAACATTTCCTTTGTGTGGTCCAAATTTAGAAAGAAATGTTTGTTTTCAGTCAGATTCATAAGACAGGCCCTATTTACACCTGGCCTTAATATGGGTCTTGGGTGATCCGATCAAAAGTGGACAGCTCCAAGTACGTCAGTTCACACCTGGCATTAGAATGCGTCTCTAGTGACCGCTTGTGATTGGATATCACTTCCCCGCTCTAAATGCAAATGATCACGTACACCATTTCCGTTTGAAAAGACCAACTGCGTTACTGTTTTTAACCTCAATTTGATCAATTTAGGCTACTGTTTATCAGACCACAAATGACAATAAGGTTAGAAAAACAATGAACGTTGCTGAAGGCAGTGTTTCTGGAGGCTGAGCCTTACTAATAACTGTTAAAAATAATCATACTTCATGGACAAACTCTTTCCTGGTTTTTCGCCTGATGTCCTCCGGCTGCCTCAACTCTCTGTGAGTTTTCTGATGGACAGATAGCTTTATTTCCATGCAGCTAGTGGTCCTATTAGCTTAAATAAAGCCTTATTATCTTTATTAAACCTCCTCCTCCAGTGGTGTGAACACTGACACTCCCCTGGTGCTCCTAGTCAGCTAGAGTTTATAGGACCACTAGCTGCATGGCTAACTGAGCTAACTAGCTAATGGCAGTCAAGCATCAAGAGTTGAGGGCAGAGCAGCCAGAGGATACCAAACAGGATTTTCTTTCTGTGTGCTCCATCCACAAAAATATTGTTTGCCTGTTGTCATAACTTGTTTTTTTTCACTTTAATGGCGCCGCCTCCGCATGAATGAGTATATGCTTCCACTTACGCAGACGCCTTAAGTTGGCCCAGGATACATTCGTGAAAACACTGCTAAAAGAACGTGGCCCTGACCACCTCCAAATGTGGTCTGAGCATTGGGATCTCACACCTGCACTGTCCACTTGTGATCAGATAACCCAAAACACATGTTACTGGCAGGTGTAAACAGGGCCACAGACACAAGTGTTTGAAGTCCTACTCACAGTGTGGATGGGCTGTAGTTAACCAGGCAGTGCAATACACCCAGCAAGTCGTCTTCCCAGTACAGGTCTCTGAACCTCTCCTTTACAACACTGGCAAACTTGTGGTACTGGAGGTCCTTCAAAGAGAAGATGTACTCCCCTCGGAAAAGAGAAAAAGTAAAACAAAATTAAATGATTATGTCTAAACAGCTCAAGACAGGATTATGGGATCGGTTACTGCTTTTTTAAAACTGCCTACAGTGAAGGAGCTGTCTGGTGTTAGAAGGAACATTATGCAGATTTTTAAGACAACGGGGTGTCTGTTCTTTGTAACACTGCAGCTGTCTAGTACTTCTGCCATCCTGAATGGTTACAGTGAGTTTGAGATCTCAACCTAGGGGCATCCCAACAGCCTACTTTGTCTCTGATAGGCTTGTACTTGTTGCCTTCATGGTTTAGTTGGTTAAGTTTAGGCATGAATAATGTCAGGTTAAGCCAGTCAGAGGTAGAGTAGGGCGGGTCATGATTTTGTCATCCTGGGAAAACATTTTTTTTCACCCTGTACAAACTACAGTATATGTGCAGTGGACATTACAGCATAAATGGTGTAACAAGCCCACACCATCAGCCAGATCCGCAGAACTACTATTAGAATTATTTTAATGTAACAATCTCAATGTTACAAACAACCTTGGAGGAACAACTTTCCCTTCGGGTATTTAAATAATCATAGGGGTACATTGTGTGAAGATTCTTGGAATCTTCTTAGAACTAGAAAACCAAAGTTGAACATTCCCAGAAATGCATTATACATTTAGAAGAAATACCACCAAACAGACAACTGAGGGGAATGGGAATGTTCCATGTTTAGGACTGTGGTACTGATTTCTCTGTAAATATGAGTGTTTGTAATTTTACTGGATTATACACATCACCACATATCCTTTATTTTTCTATGTAAACTGTTCATCCATTACTTTTATTATTTATTCATTACTTTTCACCAACAGTGTCAACTTCTCTACCTGCTTCCAACCTACTTTTTGCACACTCTTAATTGCAACAAATGGTGTTGAGGTGTTACAGATGTCTCAGTGTGTGGATATTAGTTCAGCTACTCCATAAACTTTCCACGTACCCCCTGGTGTACAAGTACCGCTGGTTGGTAATGACTGCACAATGCACATGGGTGATAATTTAAAAGAAAAACCAACACAATCCTCCCAGTCTCCGGAACCCTTTCCATTCTCCCATAAGTGTTCCATTGATTCACATCATTTTCATTCTCATCAGACCATTAAATGACCCCCCGTGTCCTGTATGAAAGCATCAACATCTGACATGTTTCTCCACTCTTTCATTCAGATCCTTCCTTTAATTTGTCACCTATCTGTAAATGTAGTAGGTTTTTCACCATCGCTTTGTTAAGCAAATCATCAATGGTAAAAATAGTACATGATAAAGCAGTAATAGAATTACATTATAGTTTAAAGATACATACCCATGGCGATGTCCTTGTGTCCATTGTCCAAATACCCATCAGGTGAAAACTCTCCCTTGAGCAGGTCAATCACCTCCTGTAGGGCAGGGTGGACTTTAGGAGAGATGGACTCGGAAGAAGACTGGTTCTCACCTTGTGTTCCTGGATCTGTTTGTCTATTGTAAGCTCTGGGAACACTGTGCTCCAGGGGGCTGTCAGAAAAGATGGAGCTGCCTTTGAAATGTGATGATGGGCCATAATCCTGGGGTTCAGGCTTCACAGGCACATTCAGACAGTTAATAAATGAAGCATCAGTGTTCTCTGGAACTGCGATTAGTCCCTGCAAAGGCTGTGGCACCAGGGAGAGATTTATATCCAACCCGAGGAGAGACTCTGGAGCCCTAACCTGCACAGGCACTAAGGAAAGATGTCCTGTTGTGGGATCCTGACGGAAGAGGTAATTGTTGAAAACACCACAACCATTGAGGTTAGTGGATAATGGCGGAGGAAGAGACACTTCAAGACAGGAAATATCAGGGAGAGTAGAAGCAGAGTTGACCATCATCTTGTCGCTGGAAGTTGTAGTTACCACAGCCTCATTAACAGGCAACTCCTGTGTATGTAGATTGGGTTCAGTCTGTGCAGTATATAGGGACTCAGAGTGCTCGATGTGTTCACTGCTTTTTGTGGATCCATCCATAGTCCTGTAAAATAAACAATTCCTAATAAGCCTTCTTTTAAAACTATGAAGCATTTTGTGGAGGTAGTTTTATTGCTTCTTTTCTTTTAATGTATTATTTTTAAAGGTCCTGTGTGTAGCATTTAGGAGGATCTGTTGGCAAAAATGGAATATAATATACATAGGTATGATTTAATTAGTGTATAATCACCTGAATATAGGAATAGTGATTTTGTTAGAATGAGCCATTTTTAACTGAAGATGTGCAAGACGCCTTCCGTGGAGGCTGTCATGTTGAACCACCATGTTTCTACATTAGCCCAGAACAGACAAAACAAACACTGCCTGTAGATAAGGCCTTTTGTGTTTCTTTGAGTTTCTCCTACACTTCCACGGCCTGTTCTCATTCTCAGGTCATCAAATAGTGTTCAGACTATTGAACAGTGAAAACATACCTTTGAATATTATATTCCATTTCTGCCAATAGGTCTTCTAAAGGTTAAACACTGGCCCTTTAAACCAATAAAATATAATGGTAATTAATGAGCTTTTGAGGTATTGGTAAAGTTGTTCTCCGCCCATTTCCACTATCTATGCTAAGTTAAGTTAAGCAAAATGTTTTGTTATTCTATATAATAACCTTTACCTGGAAAATAGCTTTTTAAAACACATCCTACCCTTCAATGGCTGCTCCAAGGTGTTGGCTCTCCTCCTCTGAGTCCTCTTGATTGGTCAGGATGATGGGGGTGAAGTGTGTGGCAGTGGAAGTGAAGGCCTCTGGGAGTTGGAGTTCCTGGTTGACTGGATAGCTGTGGGGAACAGGGCCAGGCACAGGAGCCAGTCGGCTCTCAGTGGCCATGGGCACAAAGCCTACACACAGTTACAACAATGCCAGATACAATATCAGTGATATTGTCTCATGCAATGCACATCTGTAAATTACACAACATGTGTAAAATATTAGGAAGATCTGCTAATATGGTATGATCCCAGTGGACGGCCATGCTACCTTCTTTACTGAATCTTCTTCTCTCATGAATGTTAGATGAAAAAGAATGACATCTTTAACACAGCAGTGCCTTTTAATAGCACGATTCAAAGGGTCTTCCTGATATTTGGCACATTTAGTGTATAATATACTGTAGATTTCAGTGCCTGAAATGGGCCTGCAGTCACTGCTATGTACTGGCAATTCAGATTTTTGGCGGAAAAGACATCCCCTACTTGCTTCTGATTAGCTTTCTTGTTTGTTTGTTTGGTCAGGTTTAGGCATGAGCTAGCTTAGCACTTGAGAGAACAGCAATGAGAACAAATGTTGTTAAAATGGATAAAGAGTTAGGGTGAGGGTTATGTTGTGGTTAGGGTTGTGCTCAATTAGGGTACTGGCACTTTATTTGGTACAGTTCAGGCACTGGTCCATTTCAAGATAAACTATATTGCATGAGGGTCATCCGTACTAAAGTAAAGCTGTCCTACCGCTGATTTGTGCAGATTCTTCACATGAGCTTTGATGAGTTTCAGTTGCACTCAAATCATCTGCATCACTGGACACTGGCTGAAAGAAAATTTAACTTGTTCATTATAACATTATAACAGAAATGTCCTTTTTTTGAGACAACACAGACGTTAAGAGGATGGCCAAATAAAACAAACTGACTGACATTGAGGCTGAAATAATATGCAATAAATAAACAATTGAAGACACAAAGGTGTAAATGTATCTGTGGTGAAAAACAAAGGAAAGTTTACCGGGTGAACTCTGCTGACGAGGTTGTTCCAGACAGTCTCAGCATTTGTCCCTTGACGTGATAAGTAGTCACGACAGCTCTGGAACAGACACATGAAAACCAGTGTGATAACAATATGGGGCCCTTAATGCACAATCACTAACAATGTTGAAATTAATTCTGCCCTGAATAAGTGTCTGATTAAAAATAAAACATCCAGTATGTGGAAAACTAACCTCTACTTTTACTAAATGACTGACAGCATAATAATAAAAGTAAATTATGGTATTTTTTTAGGAGAGTCCTTTGTTGACAAAATGGCATAGCACTTTTACAAATTGGATTTTCTCTCTTTAAATTACAAGTGATTTTCTTTCAAAGAGGATATGTCTATTTGGAAAGGTGCTCCTCTCTGAAGTTGTGATATGTGCACATTGATATGGAAAATCAAATCAGGCTTTATTTAAAGAGAACCTTTCATACTTGGAAATACAATCCAAAGTGTTTTGCAGGGCAGGACTGTAGCATACATTACTTCTATCTATATTGTCATATATTGTATTATAATGTATATACTTAGGCTCTTTTTTATATGTATATACCTTTATATTAATTTTCTGTTTTATATTATATATAAATACAAAATAAAATAAGTCAACATTACAAAATACATTTATTTACTACTAAATGTAGTAAATAAATAGAAATAAAAAGAAAAGTAAAATGATTAAGGAATCCAAATAATTTGAAAATGAAATATGAAAGCCTAATTATACAAAATTAGAAATGCTAACATCAACATACAAACTTTATTGTTTATTGTTCCTGTTTTAGCATGTTAGCATAGTGAGCATGTTAACATCTTGACGTTAGCATTTTAGCACTTAGCTCTAGCTAGTTAAATATTTGCTAATTAGAACTAAACACAAAGTACAGCTGAGGCTGATGATGTTATTAGTTTGCAGGCATGCAGCCAAGTATTGGACAAAATAGAACTTTAAAGGCAGTACATGAAGAATTAGGGGATCACCAACGGACAGACATTGCCATAGAGCCATGTCACTACCTTGGCCAAAAATGTAGTGGGACCAATAACACAATTAGGGGCCTTCTTATCAAATAATGTCCTCACAAGGTATATAGCCAGACAGTGCAGGGTTGTTCAGAAGCCTTTGTAGTGGGCATACATTTGTGATAGTAAATCTGAGTCAGACAAGAGGTGCAATGCTAGGTGGCCTGCAAAATGAAACTGTATGAAGTGGAGTTATGTATCTGAATGGACACCAAGTCAATATCCTTCTACTTCAGCTTCCCTGTAAATATCAGCGGTTCCCTCACCTCTAGCTCAAACACTGAGTACAGAGAATGAAAGATTAGTGAGGGGAGGCCTCTGTTTAAGCTGTTGGTCTATTTGTTAAATCAGGTTTCAGTTCAAACACACAACCTAGTTTATGTTTTATAATAAAGAAAGCAGAAATATTCATCAAAGCCATTCTTAAAGTCAAACAGTTTTTCTCTTTTGTAATTTGTTAGTTCTTTTTTTTAGGAATTTTAATTGAAAAAAAAAAATGCTGGATTGTTTGATTAAACAAACAATGGAAAAAGAAAATGTCAAAATAAAAATAATAATACTTTTTTAGCCATGACGATGGTAGGCCTCTCAATGGGTGTCCTCTTTGCCATCTCCAGGAGCAGTCTCTTCAGTTTGCGAGGCATTGCCAGTTTTTGATTAGGTGATAAACTGAACTTGGCTGTAGCCCAGAGAATAGCAGCAACCCCATACACACAAACCTGAGGCAACACAGAAAAGAAGAGGGGAAAAGCTACAACTAAAGCCAATGATTAGTGAAAGTTAGTTTTAAAGATACGTAAATGAAAGCAGTCCAGACAGGCAGACCTTCTCGGTCACAATTCCATGTTCTTGATATTCAGGAGCAAGATAAAATTCATCTCTGGATCCTGCAAAGAACACTGACAGTCAGTTACTGAAGTCAACAAAAGCCTCCAGACATTGTTGCCTCATATACTTGAGTACACAGTGCATTTTCAACATCTATTTTGCAAGTAAACAATTGTATAGACTTGAGTAAACCTACCTATGTTTTTAGGTTTCAAGAAAAGTACTTCTCCCTCACAGCCCACGTGCACTGTGTCCAGGCATAAATAGGCTGGAAAAGAGAGAAATCAGCTGCACAGAAGAATTGCAACAAAATGCAAGCCATGTAATAAAATCGCCTTTTCTTCTCTCCTCTAAAAATTTCCATTTACAAGATCTGTGCTCTTACGTTGTGCTCTCAAATGTTCTTGCAGGAGCAGTTCATATTAAGTACTTATAAGTACTGGTTTCATGCATGAAAAGCTGAAAATTACCTGGAAAGTCAATGTAGGTCTGCAGTGAGGACAGGCAGGTGTAACACAGAGCCCACAGCTCATTAACTGTCAGCCTCCGTCCACACCGAGCAAGCAACTCTCTGAGCGAGATCCACTGGATAGAAAATAAAGAGCAAACACAGTTTAAGTAGTAGTAGAAAAGGAATAAGTTATAGACTTCTGAGCTTCAGCTGATCCCTCAGTAGACCTAATTAACTCAAACTGTAGTAATCCCTGACTTGACTTTCTCAGACTCTGTTTTTGAATGGTCCAACGTTCAGCAAAGATTTGTCTTAAGGAAGTGTTCGCTCTTTCACTTTTGTAGATTCCTTTTGCGTATTATTACTAAGTACTTATGTGATAACTGTGTCTCTTTGAGACGGTCGACTTCCCCCTAAAAAGGTTACACAATTCAATTTCATTAAAAGCCTTATAAAACAAGTTGTGAGCAACTGTTCTGACAGAATGTTAAAGAGTTTAACTGCAGGCAATAACATGAAGTAACCCAAATGAAATTACCTTTACTTATTGACTGATACTAGCAATATTTTCCTTGCTGGCTACCTATCTAGCTGTAGCTACAAAACAGAGAGTTGAAGTTAAAGTACATTCTTGACCTTGGAAATATTAAAAAGGTCCACTTGCTAGTTTTGTTCCAGAGCTTGTAAGTGGTCACCCCAACATATGACCATTTGTAAACACATAACCAAAGCTTTATAGCTAGGTCACATAATGAAAACACAAAAAAATCTCCACATCAACTAAGAAAACTTCATCTGCTGATGAAGACCCAAGCAGCAACCTCTGTCGCTGGCAAATATAGCCACAAGTCTTATTCACAGACAGACAGCTCTTTAGTGGACCTCCATAATAGAACCAGACATGGTTGTGAAAAACAATCTGAGATGCTAGGTCAAACATTTGAGAGCCATCAGGCACTGGCTAACCTCATCCTGAGATTCTTCGTTGAGGCACAGCATGCTTTTGGTCATGTGGTTATTAGGAATGTAGAGGCTGTGGTTTAACGAACTCTGGTCCCAAGAAGAGTCCTGTTCCATTTCAAGCTCCTGACAGGAGGTACAGGAAGATGCTGAATCCTGGGTGCAGTTATTAGACTCACATTCATGCACTCCTTGAGTCTGTGTTTCTCCACTGCATAATGTCTCTGAAGCATCTTCATTTACTTGCGACATTTGGCTAACCACAACTGAGTTCACACAGTCCTCAGTGCTACTGTGTGGGTAGGACTCACAGGACTTGCCCCGGTTGAGTCTCTGAAGTCTGTTACTCCACACAGACTTGCAGCTCAAGTGTTCATCCGCTCCTATCTCAGTGAGGTCGGACACAGGTATGCTGATATCGCCGTGAGTTGGAGGGGAAAGGCAAGGGGGGTTGTTGGAGTCTGGGACAGAGCAGGAGCGGTTAAGAGCCCCCCTCACCCTGTTCAGCCTCTGCTGGGCCCTCCTCCTCACTGGGGAGCTGTTGTGGGACCTGCAATCCAAGTCATCTGCCAAGATCATGCCATCTCTTTCACTGCTTTCCAAATCCTCTGCCCAGAGGGAGGAATCCCAGCCCCCGCACACCTGCAGATGATAATAATAATAATAATAATAATAATAACAATAATAATAAGAAGAAGAAGAAGAAGAAGAAGAAGAAGAAGAAGAAGAAGAAGAAGAAGAAGAAGAAGAAGAAGAAGAAGAAGAATTAACCTTATATACTTTAATGGCATAAAATGGGCAGTAAAATGCCTTTTACCTGATTTTTACTTTTTTTTTAGGCCCACAGGATTCCACATCAACTCCCTTCCACCAATAATTACTGTATTTATACACATACTATATACGATACACAGACTGGTTTTCTTGAGCAATGCCAAAATTGTGAAAGGCCACAACGATTAAGCAAATAAACCAAAATGAAGTGAAGAGCAACGCTGGAGATCATCATGAGGTGTCGTTTTTTTGCCACAGTCTGTTACAAATCACAAAAGTAATGGGTGGGGCCACAGTGTTCCAACAAGGAAACCTCAAGCAAACAGCTTCTACAGTTAACAAGGCACCTAGGAATGAGGTCCTGGCCCTGGAATTTCGCCCTTGGAATTTTATATTTCCTTTTACAACACTTAAAATACTAGCTTGAGCTTAAAGCACAAATCCCAATTTGAAATTTTCAGGCCATTAGGTCCTAGGTAAGCTTTTTTCCCAGGAAAAGACCATCCAAACTAAGAAAATGAATGTTTTAATTTTTTAGAAGGAAAAAACTATATGGGATAAATATTTATAAATACGTTAAAATCAAAAAATGTTGACTTTGTCATGTGTAGCCACCTCTTGAAAGTTTTCCAACAGCAAGAATTGTGCCGTTTCCCACCTCTGGCGGAAAAAAAACCTTCTGGTGCTTTTCCCCCAAATTAGGTGTAGATAACAGAAACCTGAATGGGAAGAATTTTAAATGATCATTCTTCCCCTCCAGAGCAGCTGCTTCCTTGAAAATGGTTGTAGCCTTCACTCTGTCACATACTGCTGCCTGGACCACACCATTTGCTTTAAACAGCAACTGTCAACAGAGAGCTCTTTGCTTATTATCATCTGAGCTCAGTCTTTTAAGCAGACATCCTTCTTGGTTTTGGGATTGTTTGCCATCTTGCCTCCCAGGAGCCTTCCTGGCCATTCCTGTGGATATACAAACGAGAGGACATTAGTACCAGACCAAAATCCAGCGAGACCAAACAGTGACATCTGTAAATTGAGATGAATAAAAATCACCTTGAAAGGTTTGAAACTGATTTCGGACGTGGACAAGCAAACCCGTCGGCCAATAGAAGTACAGCTTCCGGCAACACAGCCGGCAGACGGAGGTATGAGAACAGCCCGTTCTTCAGCCCAGAGAGAGGAGTCCCTGTTGGGAGTAATCCAAACTTGCAGGTTTGCAAATATTTTCATAATGGAATATTCTGGAACAATCTGTCTTTGTTTTAAGACAAGAATAAATATTTGAGGGTAGAGGCAGAACACAGTAAGGATGCCCTAATTTGGAGCCTCCCTTAAGTCATTAGAATTTGGAATTTGTGGCTGATTGTATATTTTTAAGAAGCTATGTTTCCATCGTAAGGATAAACTTGTAAGTGTATTTTGGATTATTTTATATATTAATTGGAGCTTTTTATTGTCATTACGGGTTCAAGTGCAATTACATCCCAATGTTGTTTTATGCAGTTTTTCTATTTAATTCCTCTTTGTATTTAAATGCCTTTTACTGTTTTGGTGTTTTTCAACCATTGGATAAGGCGTTTTTTTTTTTTACAATAGACAATTTAATGCCAATCGGGATTCACCTGGAAAACTAGGAAATAAAAATAGTTTCTCTTCCTCTCTGCCCTTCCCATGTTTACTTTTTTTATGGATGGTTGATGCCCTGGCTGTACCTTTGCATTTGATTGGCCTGTTCTTTTTGCCGAGTAGTAAGAATACACTGTATGCAGGCTTGTTCCTGTCATTTATCATTATGAAATGCCTGTTTCAAAGGTAACTGGACCCCGGAAACGTAGCTATTCACACAAATTTACCCGGAAGTGTCAGCAGTGTGCAGGAGCTTGATTTTTGTGACTTGAATTTATCACTTATTCTCCTGTGACGCGGTCCCTGAAGGTTGGTTCTAATGTTTCCTCTTCCTTTTTAAGGCAATGTACATGGGGTTCGCCGACCAATGGCATAGCCTGGAAGCACCTGGGCCCGGTGTTTCCCCAGCTTATAAAAGCCGCCCTCTCTGGCCTGACGGGGGCTCTCTTCTCTAATCTTATTTAAATCATTTGGTTTGTATTCGGAGTAAGTTTGTGTTTTTTAACATGCAACATTTAGCTTTTCATTATATAATCAACACCTCAATGCAATACACACACTTTCACTACTGATGTTACTGACAAACACACTCTCTTTTATTTTAGTTCTTTTTTCGAGATGCCTTTAGGTTGTTTATGTTTAAATAAAATTACTTATAATTTGTACTTTCCACTGCGTTCCCTCGTTTTTGTCAACGGCTACAGAGCCAGGTCGTGACATCCTGCAAATCCGTCGGTCTACTCACAGGTGTGCAAAGATCACTTTTTCTGTTCTGATTTTACATTTCATCACTTACTTCTCTTTGTGAAGAAAATAAAGATCTAAGATGTGCAACAGTGTTTTGTAACACACTTACAAAGTGTACTACTGAAGTAAACTATGCTTGTCATTATGAGCCAAAAACACTTTTCTTCAATATATTTTCAGGTCACATTATGATCTATCACCTGCTTTAATACAAGTACAACTTGTCTTTTATCTTTTATTTTGTAAGGCTGCATTTTGTTATTGAAATCTTTAATAATTTAGACATATTTTTAGACATAGTTTTTCCCTGTTGAAGTTCATGCTGTGACAGTATAGGACAATCCCACTGTGTGATTTGCACTGACACAGAATTTCCACTTGATGCTGCTCAAGAGCACTGACTCTATGTAGTGCCCATTAGTTCACCTAATAGAACAGAAAAATGGACTTAAATGTATACTGCAGCCATAATCACTGTAAATACATTCACTTCTAACGGACCCTTGTAGCTCTACATGTGACTGGAAAGGAACGGTGATGCAGTGCAGTTCTGGGATATATTTTATGACTTTGATGTGTAAGGACATAATCAGGCCTGACCACACACACGCATGTGCACATGTGTCACCAACCACCTCTTTGGGTCATGATGACTTTAAAATTACATACATTTATTTCTCTATGGTTTTATCTAATTATGTTTTATGCTGTTGTTGTTGTTTTTTTTAGTTACTGAATATTTACTACATGTGGTTGCTAAAAGAATTTGAATCTGAAACCGCAATAATCACTAATACAAGTTGTTACCACTCATTTTGCATTTGCATTAAATTAAACCTAATTTAACACTTAACTAAACACATATTGACTTAATTTCAGACATTTTACTTCTTTCCTCTGAACACCATGACAACACAATTGCTCAAGTGAGATCTCAAATTATTCTACACCTGCTTCATGATGTTAAAACAATGCAGTTCTCTATGAATCATTCTAGCAGTACAGAACAGTCAGCAGGGTGTTAATACCTGCAGGAGCGGCCTGTCCTCAGGCTTCTCCTCCTGCATCTGCTCCAGCAGCCTCTGGATTTCTTCTCCCAGCTCTGCCTCCAGCTCTGGCTCGATGACAAAGTTCAGTGCGGCAGAAAGCGTAGAGCCCAACGAGTAAACATGGCCCTGCAGCCGGGGTTAAAGGAGGAGAAAACACTATCATCATCATCTTCAGGAACCAGCTGCAGCTGTGAATTTACAGCGAGCACAGAGATCTGAATCTATGAATGGCTATAGAAAAGGCTCAAAAACAGAGGATCCTCTTGCCATTTTGGGCAGTAATTGTCATGTATTGTACATATTTATGACAGAGCTTTTGTTTTGCTTTGCTGCTTTGACAGTGGATATTATGGTCAGGTCTAAGGCAGCAGCAGATTTGAACCAGGTGCTTCAGAGTTCAAATCTCGGACGTAACGATCACTTTCAACAATTGAAGTGGACTGTACCCATACTTATGTGGTAAACACATGTGCAAGGCGGATCCCAGTGTGGGTCACCAAAATAGAAGAGTAAACGCTCAGCTGAAGGCCTTAACTCCTGTTTTGCTTACACTATTACTTTGGCCGTGCGTAATATCTCCCTTGAGGGGAACACACTTGAGAAAAACACGAGAGAAGTGAAGAAGTTGTTTGTTTGACAAAAACTTTGTATTTTTACACAGCAAAAATAAGTATGCACGGTTTATTTTTGAAAGAAGGTTACATAAGTCTACTGTAAATTTATTCATGTTATGGTGTGAAAAGTGACACCTCTCAATGGCAGTGTGTGAGGTTCACATTTGAATTCTTATTTCCACAGAGGAAGCCAAAAGCTTTTGAATCCAATCAAATCAGAGGCATTATTCTATTTCACAGCAAAAATACGTATTTCAGACTTCCCCTATAGCAGAATACTATAGGGCAGATGTATAGAGAGATCTCTAAAAAGGAATATAAAAGTTACAGAGATCCACTCAGTAATGATGGCAGAGCATAAATAACATTTATTAAACCCACAATAGTCATTAAAGATAATGCATACTCATCCTACAAAAAAGATCCAGTGGCAGAAGTACAACAAGACAATCCGTACACACAGTGGAGTACAAAGACATTCATACCTGGAGCTGCTGGTATATTCTGCTTTATGATGTATGTTAATACACAGCTACACTAAAAGAGTTTATGCTTAAGTGCCTCACTCACAGCCAGTTACAGCCAGATCATACCTGTCATAAGATTCAAATGGGTGACCATTACAGGATAATTCTGGTGTATTTCAACCGGGGTTTTATTCTTGTAGCTGTGGCCATTGTGGCCTAACCTATCATTGGTTGAGTCAGACTATATTGTGGTGATGGGTAAGAAGCATACAAAGTCAGGTGACCATACAGGTTGTAAACAAAAAAACTGTTTAGCTAAATTATCTCAACCACTGCATTCAGAGGTGAAATTGAAAGTGAGTGCACACATACTGGTAATAAAACTGTGTGTGCGCACAATTACACAATTAGGTAAAGAGCGACTACCTGACATGCATACATGATTGTGGCCCATTTCACAATGATAATATACACTACATTATTAGACTCATGAAGGAGTATGTGTACACATGGCCATATGTCCACTGTAATTGTATTGTGTATTTGTGTATTACGGTTTTCCCTCCTGGGACAATAAATACTGCCTATGTATAATGTTGCAGGTGTGGCTAATATTTATTACTTCATTACTGCTGGGTATCTTAACCTATATTAAAACATAATCTTTTGTATTAATAATCTCAATGTGAAAAGTAATAAATACATATAAACAAATGCACTGGTGTCAAAAGTACAATATGTAGTGGTAAAGTATGAAATATATGCATAGATATAAGTATAATAATAAAATAGCATTAAATGGAATTATTCAAGTAAAGTACCAGTACATTACTTGAGTGAATGTACTTAATTACTTTCCTCCACTTTCCAGAATAGAGATAAGAGTAGTGTGACTGGAAGGTTCCAGTAACACCACTGCTTAAAATTAGAGAGACTAACCACAGAGGGGAAGTTCATACTAATATCAGATGGCAAGAAGACTCCTTATTTCACAACTACTAAAGATCTTACACCTAAAACATACATTTGGTTGTATATCACTTCAAATGTCCTGGTTGAGGTGTTGATCGTGTTTAAAATTCTTTTAACACAGCTTCAGTTCCAGAGTAAGGGAACACTCAAGAGGACCCAACAGTGTATGGACATTCAACATCATGTAATGAATTCATACCCCTAGACTGATGTTATAAAACTTCATCCTGGAACAGGACCTCACACCTGGAACAAAGCTGGAGACAACTCATGACAAAGACATATGTCAAATAACAGACCAAAGTAAAAATTGGGACATTCAACTTCTAAAATGTGCCAGCAGCAAATATAAACTCTCCTTGAACAGAGGTCTTAGAAGAGGTCTCCTCTTACATGGACCTTTGATGGCCTCTAACTTTAGGTTAGTTTGGGTAATAATTCTACAGTTTACCTTTCTCCTCGCAACCTTCCTGTTAAAGAGTACTGCCTCCTGCCTATTTCACCTGATCAGATGGAGGTGAGCTTATAGTTGAATGACTGCTGGCTTGTGTGGGGAATTTTATTTTAGGAAAGAGAACGAGCAACACTCTCCTCTCTCTCAGCAAACACAACCAAGGTGCCCGTAACTGTGAAACTCCCAGGGGCGAATGCGTGCAACTGTGACCAGATTAAAATCTATAAGAAGATTCGGCAGCTCTCACCTCAAATGTGCTGCCTGTGTTGTCAAACTCTGGAGGCACAAAGGAGCCTTCTGGATCATCTGCAAGACCAAAACGTACCAATTAGCTGAACCATTAAGCGCGTCTGAAGAGCATACAGTACACTATAATGTCATCAGAAGGGAACACACGGTGCATCTGTCGTTTGATGTCAACACTCTGATGTATAGCCATGTCAGTTCTGTACTGTAACCTACTTGCTGAGCATCCATCTTAATGAGATGCAAATCAGAGGAATATGTATCCCGCATGCTAAACCACAACAGTCCAGTGAGCTAGCGTAGCCACTTCCCTTCATTTGCATAATTCTCGTGTCAGAGATAATCCCCGACAAACAAGACAGGAGATATTTGCAGATCAGAAGATGGAGCAGCCACTGAGAAGCAGCGCTGCAGCCTCCTCCTGAAGTAGGCCACTGCTCAGACTGGCAACAAGCAGGACACACAGACACAGGAAAACATCAGCACAAACATGCACCCCCTCAGCTGGACCTGGGATGAGAGAGGTAGAGAGAGGGGAAAAGAGAGAGAGAGAGAGGTTGTACCCAGAGTTAGAGGAGGGAAAGAAGAGAAGGAAGGGGATGGAAGTGAGTAAAGTGGGTCATGACAGATCTGGGTTTGTCTACTGGAGTTATGATGTCCCCTCCCAGGTGTAGGGAGGCCGCTCCGTTTCGCTTCACCTCTCCTCCTTAGCCCTTTTCATCTCATCCCCTCTTCTTTTTTCTTTTCATCTCCTATCTTTCCCATTTTCCCTTTTTTCCAATTCCTCTAATTCCTTCCTTCTCTGTTTGCCTTCCCACTATTCCTCTCTCCTCCCCTTTCTTTCACTTTGGATTCCTCTTCTCTCTTTGTGTATTAATCTCCTCATCTCCTCTTCTTTTTCCTTTCCTACTACTATGATCCCCTCTCCTTATCTCTTTAGCTTCCTCTCTTCCTTATCCTTGTTTCCTTTGCTTTTCTCCCCTTTACTCAACTATCCTTCCTCTTCCTTCCTAATCCCCTACTGTACTTTCCTTTCATTCCTTTACTTTCCTCGATTCCTTTCCTCTCTCCTTTCCTTTCATTTCCCTACCTTTCCTTTAATCTCCTCACATCTTTAAATTCTTCTCCTCCTCTCCTTTCATCTTGTATCCTCTTTCTTTTCCTCTCCTGTACTCATCTATGCGTTCTTTTTCCCCTTTCCACTGCTCCTCCCCTCTCATTACTTTTCTTTTACTCTTCCCTTTTCTTTCTTTTCCACCCCTCTTTTGCTTTTTTCATCTCCTCTTGTCTCACAGAGATTGCCAGTTCAAACAAACAAGGAGAAAAGGACAGACGGGAGCAGAAAAGGAGGACACGATATTTCAACCCTTTGTAGTGAGAAAGCTCTGTAACACAGTGAAATAGGCAGTGAATGAGAGAAAAAAAGACAGCAGTTGTGAGTGACGCAGTTGCCTCCAGGGTGATGGTGAGAGCTTGGTGAGTCATGTATGCCTACAGCATTTTAGGACAACAGGTAGTAAGAGCTGAGCAATATTACTGATTCAACACACTTTCCAAATGCACTGATCAGATTTCCCACGACCAGTCCCGTTTTATCAGGAACGGAACAGCTTGCGAGGCTAAACCTCGAGGGAAAATTAGCAATTTTTCTTAGTCATCAACAAAACCATTTGCTTACTTTGGCATCACCCACAGTCCCATACAACTACATTCCTGTTACTACTGCAGTAATTAATTAGCTGAAATGAACCCTATTGATGAGTCGTTGCGGCAACAGCTATTCTCGCTGAGCTTCATCACCGCAGCCCTCAAGGTCACAGCCTCACAGGGAGAGCCTGTTTGTGTGCGATTGGATGCTCAAGTGTGCATCAGCTCGAAATTTCATCACTATCACACAAAGACTTCAACTAAATGGATTCGACGGGAAACTGTGCAGCCAGTAAAGTGGTGAGCGTAGTGCTGTGATTAATGATACAGATGCAGTGTTCAGCACGAACAACTAACACAGGAAGGGTAATGTGGGCACTGTGGTTTCTTTCTCTATCCACAGGATGAATCATAGCCGAGGGACTGAACACAATCCAATAAAGCACAACAACAAATGAGGCTGCGAAGGATTTTATCTGACAGAGTAATCAAAACATCTCCTCAAAGTGTCTCTATTACTGACGGAAGATTTGCATGGAGATAAATGGATGCAACACTTGCTGTGGCTGTGTAATGTGTGTGTGTGTGTTGTTGTGTGTGTGTGTGTGTGTGTGTGAGCGCAGGTCGACTGCTGATAGGCTAACCAAGCTGTTACCACAACAACGCTCCCCCTGGCAACTCTAACACCGTAGATCTAATCAATGCTTATCAATTTCTGACATTTGGCATTAGGGCATGTATTGAGTGTGTGCTACAGACGTGTGTGTGTGTGTATGCGCACATGCTCCAGCGCTGGTGTAAGTGAAAAGATAAAGAATTATATAGAAAGAGAATGAGGAAAAAAAGTGAGAATATCCGAGATAAAAGAATGAGAAAAAGGGGAGGACAGGAGAAGAGAGGAGGTGAGAGATAATAATTCCTGATAGGATGTTTTTTCATTCAATGTCACGGGGCCTCACAGCACTGTGAAGGAGAAAGATTTCATCTGGGTAAATCAGAGCAGACCTGCAGACCTCGGCACAGCCTGACAGATCCAGTGAGACACTGATAGAGTGTTTTCAAGCAGGAATTTGCAAATCGAAAGTGATACAGATCAGGGCAACAAATCACTGAAGAGAAAAAGGTGCCTTCTCTCTGCGTCAAGCTGAGCTTAAACTGCAGTTAAGGTACAATCTCACATTTAAACTCTGCAGTGCAGCTCTGATTTAATCTGTCATGTCTTCTGGTTTCTAAATGTTCTTTGCATGACAAGACTTGTGCCAAAAAATATATATAATAATAAAAATATGTTACCAGTCAGCTTGATCAGTAGCAAAATCTCATGCAAAAATGGTGTGTATAATAAGATAAGTGCCAATGAAGGTGTATAAATGTCCTGAAAGTGTTTTCTTTATTGTACAAATATATAAATGGCAGTGTGCCTGTGCTGTAGACTCACCACTGAGCTGCTCCATGAAGCAAACATTCCCATGGGCGTTGAAGGCCAGAGTGTCTGGCGTTATACACAGGGTGTGGAAGAGGTGGGAGGGTCTGATGCTCTGCAGCGCCAGAACACACTCTGCACACACAGCACACACCTCCTCCTCAGACAGACAGCTGTCCCGCAGAGAGAGGATGTCTGCCAGAGACACATTCTCCTGTGAACACACACACAAGTATGTCCAGGTAAGCACACACACACAGAATTTTGAGGGCTTGATCTGCATCAGTGCTCTGGTTTAATACACTACTTGTGTGAGGCCAAATGTTAATGAGGAACTCTCTTTACTCTTTACTAATTACCCGCCTTAAGCACAAGTCAGCCTTTTGTCCATTTTCTTCCATCAGCTTGTAGTTATTTAGCTAGATCAACCATTTTCCATTGTCTCAAAACAATAGGAGGCAGAGTGTAAATGTCATCCTAACTAATTAGGTCTGTACCTTACATAGACACAAAAACTATACAATGTCTAATAATAATATATAGTTTAATATATGGTTCAGCAGTTCAGGAAGTTGTTCAACATCCTCTGAAAGTTTACAATCTATCATCCTGACTGTTAACAATGTTATTTTTTATTGTACTATTCTCTACACGCAACATATATTTCATGTCTGTTGCTCTTCCTGAAGTTCTTTCAAGTTTTTTTTTCAAATCTAGGGTTTGTATTTGGATAGGAGGTGTCGTGTGCTGTACAAACTGTAAAGCCGCCTCAAGGCAAGTTTGTCATCTGTGATATTGGGCCATATAAATAACACTGACTTGAGTCATACATTTTAATGTCAGGCAGTAGAGACCAGAGAGCATTCACGTTTCCTTCCACTCCATGAGCACCAAACGCACCGTCAAAGAAGCATTTTCCCAGTCCCTATGCTCTCAACAGCATTTCAGTCCGCTAGCTCATGTGGAACAGATTTATTAAAATGTAAATACAGAGTGTGCACAGTTAAAAGTTTGGTGTTAAGGCTCTGACCTCATCACTCTCTGCAGCACAGAGGGACGCTGGAGGGAGATAAAGTTCCACCTAAACCCTGGAGAAACTGAATCCAACAGGTGGTTGCTGGGGTGGCGAGTGATACTGCAATACAGTGCCTTACTGCAAATATACAGATAGGGAGATATGGTAAGAACAGATGAGGTGACCAAATATTCTTGGATAATCCAGTGAATTAACAGGGCCCTGCGGGGTTGCCTTATACGAACAAAAGTTGTGTCCATGTTCATTCAAAAGCATTGTGCGAATCCTTGAGGGCCAACAAACGTGTTCAATGTGTTTCCTTCCTCATAAAAGATTAGCTTGAACACTCGCTGGGGAAAAAAGTGTTTTTGTTCAGCAATAAATCTAAATTATATACACGCTGGCTCCTCACTGTACCTGTCTTGCTGCTCTGTGTGTTTATGAATACCGTTTCTTTCAGCTTTACAAAGAGAAACTATGAAGTCAGGTGCACTGCAGTAAATCAGTGTTGTTGGAAAATAGTACATTTGAAATAAAGAGCCAATTTCTGCTCTGATTTTGCAGCCTTGCTAGGAAATGAAATCATCACCATAAAAGAAATCGGAAACAGTCTAATGGGGAAAAAATTAAAAGTTAAGGGCAGTGCAATCGATTCTATGCTGGGAATTTGTGTTGCGGACCAGTAGCATGAGATCCCTAAGCAGAGATGTTAAAGAGAAGGCTACCAGTATAAACTATATCTCAAAGTCAAGGCCTCTTTACAAAAATAAAAACTGACATGCTGTTCACTGTAATGAATTACCGCTCTCAAGCAAGTTTCAAATCCTCACAGATGGATTTTCATGAGGAAACAAAGGGCTGCCGGGAAGCAGGGGAACTCATTTAAAAGTCTTAAAAACACTATGGTCAGCTTTGTAAATCTGCTGACTTGTGTTCTAATTACGATTTAAGAAGTGAAGAAGAACATTTATCCCATTTCAAGACAACATCTGTAGGCTAAAACTTCCTATAATAAAGCTAACATCAGCATGAGGTCACTGTTAGAGATCTCAGCTTGATGGAAGTGATCTCTCCACGGGAACATGACAGCTTGCAGAGTTGACAGCAAAGTTATTATATTACAGTATGGTCTTAAATGTGGGGAACTGTGAATAACCCTGCCATAAGAGGCATCAAAAGATATGTTTAATTTGAACAAAGACCTTGCACAGTGCCCTAATCTTGCACCAAATCCTACATTTTCTTCAATAGCAAGGGCATTTGGTACATGACATCATGCACGTACCCCCTTTTTATGCCACGGAGTGACTCTAAACACCCACATGAACACACTGCATCATCTGTGATCCACTATTACCAAATGGCCCCATTTATCCTGGCAGACGCAGTGATCTCAGAGATTCCATGCGGCGTCCAGCATAATGCTGCGGTCTGATTATTACAGGATCTTCTGTTCGGGTTGTGAGTGAACACAAAAGCTGGCCTTAACTCAGATAGAAGGGTGGAAAGTGGGGGGTGTGGGGGTATCACAAAGCAGTGAGTGTCAATGTCCAGCTCTTCCATTCCATCAACATACTGTTTTTTCCTTCCATGACATAATTTATACCAGAGGATCTCTCAATGGGAACGTATTTTTACTCATTTTACTGCCTGTAACCTCTTTAATATTCAAAGTGTCTGTTTTGCTTTATGACTCTATAGGTGCAGGGGAGTTGGGGCAGATTGTGAACAAAGCATATCGATGTGATCTAGTGGGGTAGAGTACAATTACAGGGCAGAAAAGTGTCACTTCAAGCAGCAACAGCAGTACCAGCCCCATAAATAGACAGTTTCCCTTGAGAACAGTGCAGAGGGAAGCTAGAAGTCTCTCTCACCCCCCTCAAGTTAAATATGCTGTCCTACATAAGTTTGCCTCTGAGCGCTAAGGTTTTGGTGAGGCTGGTGGGGGTGTGCTTCTGCATGCAGGGACTGACAGAAATAGTGAAAGAAAGTAGTAGTAGTTTGCGTATTTTGTTATTTACTCAATGCAGTATATTGTCTAATCCTTGATCCCTTGTAACATTTGATGAATGTTAATGAATGAAGTCAACCATCACTCAATTAAAATGAGGTAACTAAGTTACCACTAAAAAACTCTTACTTACAATGGTTCACGTCAACCAATGAATTTATAGCTGGTGATGAATTGTAACTAAGTACATTTACTCAGGGACAATTTTGATGCTCTTATACTGCTGGAGTACTTCCATTTTATGCTGCTTTATACTTACACTCAGTTCAGAGGGAAATTGTGTACTGCACTACATTCACTGGATGATGAGCTTATAAAATACAACACAATTGCTTTTTTTTTGGCTTGTGGCCCCCTCTAGACAGTCTGGGGTTCCTTGTCACATTACAGGTGTCTATGAGTTGAAAGTTCCACCAAAGACTCATTTGAGAGGTGGGAGATCTAACAGAGACCAGGAGATAGGAGGGACCTGAAGATCAGATGGTTTCATTTAGATAAAACATTTAGATAAAATAGCTGTTCAAAGCCTAAAATAGGTCAAACGTGCCAATATTTCACAAGAAAAGCAAAGATTCAAGTCCAAAGAATGAATATAAATTAGTTTTTTCTACTCCAATAATCATTCCCTTATTGGGAAAAACTAGACTGCACTACTTTTACTATTACTTCTGCACTTGTACTTAAGTAGAATTTTAAATGCAGTAGCCTACTTCTACTGTAGAATCTGAATATAGATAGTTATATATATAGTCTATGGGTCACACATAAAATATATATAGCCTTTATGAAGAAGAATACAGCATCTTTGTTATCTAGTGCAAATTAAAGTGCTAATTAAATATTCTAACATTCCAAGGCCTTCAGAAAGCCCCAGCAGTTTGAATAAGTAACGTGTTTTTGGAAGAGAAGAACTCCTCGGTGGTGCGTTTATGAAAATCATGTAATCTAACCAACTTGAACTCATTATGAGATGATGTGCCAGAACACTGGAGAGTGGAGACATTATGTACAATCTTGTAAAATCAACATATAACACCCCCTGTCTCACCTCATCTTCCAGCAGTGGAGGCAGGTGCTCCACATCATAAAACCCGTCTCTCTCCTCCGCTCTGCCCGAGTATGTGACCGCTGCATCGCTGCCCGAAGTCTCCATTGCACCAACTTTGATTCCCTCAAGTGGTCAAGCGAATTTCGGCCCAGACAACACTGTTCGAGACAGATGGCATGCCCGAGCTCTCTGGGTACACCGAGCACAACCGGGGGGGTAGGTGGACTACTTGCTGCAGTCCAGCAGCCAGTCGATGGTCACTGCGGGACACCCCGGTCCAAAAACAACGCCGGAGAAAACAGGGAAAGCACAGCAATGCGCCGCAATCGACCGTCTCCAGCTGGTCGAGGGAGGAGGAGGAGGAGGAGGAGGAGGTGGTGGTGGTGAGGGGGGTTGCTGGCCAGTGTTTGAGGCTGTCATGACTACTATACCTCCACAGAACCAGGCGACACACGGAAGGTGATCATGAGCCGCAGTTGTGTGAGTCCTCCCCTCCTCCCCTCCTCCCCTCCTCCCCGCGGAGGAGCCAGGGCTGGCAGAGGGGGGAGAGCTGCATGCTACAGTTGGCTCCACGCCTCCGTCCACAGCGTGACTCACATTCATCACTTAGTCCTTATTATCTCCTCTTATTCCTGTGATCTGGCTTCGACCGAGGTGTTATGCCATTAATATGTGCTGTCAATGTCATGGTTCCACTGTACTGTAGCCTATGTAGTGGAATTTAACTTATAACATTTGCTACTTAAGTAATTGTACTTGAACCTTCATGCTTTCTACTAGGTTACAGAGGGAAATATTGTACTTTTTACTCCACTACTACAATTACTTGACAGCTTGGTACTTTTTGCATATAAAACATATGAAGAGCTCGTTATGATATATGACATATGAAGAAAACACTATTAAACCATGCAAGTGAGGCCACTCACCCAATGCTCGTTATTTTACTATTGATTTTATTGGTTATTTTGCATGCTTCCTGTTGTTGTTGTTATTAGTAGTAGTACTTTGCATGCCTCCTTAAATTTTAATCTTCTGTTTTATCCCAGTCTGTGGATACTGCTGGAAACTGTGAATTTCCCCTTGGGGATGAATAAAGTATCTATCCATCTATGTTTTAGATATGTTTTGTTATAATTTGTTACCCATGTTGGGAAAAAAACCCCGGTATATAGTAGTTTGCCCTCTACAGTGACCTAATGTGGATGAAAACACAATGAAGTGCCCTTTCAGCGGAGATAACTGATCAAGTGCCTTCAAGGAAGACCCTACAGTAGATAAAACCAGAAATCTGATTGGCCACCCCATCATCGTTCCCTCTTCCACTCAGCACTGTCTTTCAAAAAAGGCACTGGAAAAATTGGCATGGCCATTTTCAAAGGGATCCCTTGACCTGAAATGGTTCTGTGGGTACCCAAGTCTCCCCTTTACATACATGCTAACTTTATGCTAATCCCATGTATTTTGGGGCAAAAAAGCATGTGGTATAAATGTATTTGAATACTTCTACATACTGGGGTCCATAAACAGTACTGTTTAAATTGGGAATGACATACTTCATGCCACCCCAGCATAAGTTAGTACCCCACTTGTACCAACCCAATCGAAAAAGTCTGCACATGCCCCTGGATATAACATGATAAATTGCCCTCTACAGTGACCCAATGTGCATGAAAACATGATGATGTGCCCCCTAGGCTGCCCTTCCAGTGGAGAGAATGTGATCAAGTGCCCTCTAGGGTGAAAAAGGTCTATTTATAAAGTCTGATATGTAAGAGTCCAACCTTTCCCGGTTGTAATTATGATGTTGTTGGAGGTTGACTTAAACCATACTTACAAGTCAGAAAGTCAAACTTATTATAGATGATATACATGAATGTGACATAAACAACTAAACTGAACTGCGAGACACACCTGTTGGGGTGTATTTGGCCAGGAGTAGATGTAACAGGTGGTACCTAACCTTCACTGAGTGCTTCCACCCTTAAAGGACCAGTGTGCAAGATTAACTGGCATCTAGCAGTGTAGTTGCTGGTTGCAACACCCTCGCCTCCCCCTTCTATTCTAAACGTGTAGTCAAAACTACTGTGGCCGCAAAACTTGCAAAAAACGCGAAAGGCCCTATCTAGAGTCAGTGTTTGGTTCATCCATTCTAGGCTGCTGTAGACACATGGCGGAAACAGCTCATTCTAGGGTAACAAAAACACAACAATTCTTGCGGACGGATCCCATTTCCAGGCGCCCTGGGACCCTTGTTGCGCCGCCTTTGACATCTGCTTCTCTTCCTCACGGTTCCGAACTTCTGCTTCGACCATGTCTCACCTGTTTCTTGCACTTGCGTTTCCCCACTGCTGGAAGTGTGTAAAGCCGAGGCCGGGCTGCCTAATACAGGGGTAGCTGTCTCACAGCTTCAGAAAACTCCCTGCCTGCCGATCAATAATTGCTCACCTGTGCTTCTCCTACTGTGAAAAGTCAAAAGGTCTGCTCTGAAAAAGATATATCACAGAGAGTATCACAGAGAGTAGCCAATAGACAGAAAATTATGAACTGGCTGCCGTCATAATAACTGGTGGAAGCCATGTGGATATTTCTGGGTTTATTTTGGGATATCTTTTGAAATTACTGACTCAGTAGACAACAATTTTCCAAGTTCCACAATTTCCATTTCAGCTATTTTCTATCATAGAAACAGACCCTATGGAAAGTGCTGACAGCTTAGGTTATCTGGAGTAACAGGGATATTGTTTGATTTTGTTTATTGAATGCATGTCATTCTTGAGTGCTGATCACCACAAAAATATCATATTTACCTCCACTGTACTGTACTGTTGTTCAGGCAGAAATCTTAGAGGTACATACAAAAAACTGTGTATGTCTTGTTACCAAATAATTCTTACCAATCTTTCCCACACATTCTGTCAAACACTTTACTGATATTTGTCCAGGCTTTGAAGATTTCCTCAGTCTTGCTATATGCCAGACTGAAACCATAAGCCTCAGTTGGTGACCTACTTTGGAGGCAAACTCTTGACTTTCAGAAAAGCAGCTAGTTCATAGCTGGAGAACATAGCACCCTGACAATACATTGTAGCATCCTGCAGATTTGCATGTCAGCTCTTTATTGAGGAATGTTAGCTCCACAACCATGCAGCTCTTCCTGCTCTCATATTACTAATGCAGTCACACTCTTGCACACTTGTTCTAGATCAATACTATTTGTACACACTCTGATCCATCTTAATTGCACACTCCATTTGAATATCATCTTGCGCTGCGTGCTAGTGATGATGGAAAGCCTGTCTGGGTGCCAGCTGAGCCCAGGGTGGCAGGGAATTAGATTGCTATTATGCCGGCGGTGCCCTGTGGCTGCTGAGCAGTGATAGAGAGGCCTCTCCGGCCAGGCAGAGGGGGACCAGTATTAGATTTGTTGACTGCTCAGCGTTCTGGCATGTCGAGATAATAGAGAGAAATACTTTTACTTCAGCAGCTAGGCAATTAATGTGATAGTACATATTCTGGCATATCCCCTCAATGACTTATTACTGGAGAACAAGGCAGTCTGTTTGATCCTTGTTGGCATTGTACAGTAGCCAACTGAGACATACATTCAGAGGTGTTTCATCTTCAAAAGGATTAGCTCCTAATGTGGAAATGCTGCACAGCTGAATCATTTACAGTGAGGCAGCACTTGGCGGGGATCAGCTTGACATTGGAATCTGAAGTTATCTGATAGTATAATGACTGCTCAGTTTAGTCTATTGTCATATTTTAGACACAAGCATAGTGTTTTTTTTTTTTGTTCAATCTAATTCAGCTACATTTTTCAGAATAAAAGAGAATGGGTATCTTACATTTAGAGGGTAAATAAACACTGAATGCTGAAATGGTCTATTCATTTTCTGGGGAAAGAACACTTACCGTTTGTCCCTGTGAAGTTGGACCTCTTAAACGTTTTTTAACTTTTATTTTTTATTTCTGTGACTCAAGTCAATACAAAATAGAAGCGAGACATTTACTTTGGATGGTTCAGTTCACAAACTAGTTAATTCAATCAGAGTTGTCAGAGTTATCAAAGAGGGTGGTATAAGTGAGACATGGCCAAAATGGCTTGGACCAAAAGTGGCCTTATGACTGGACTTACACTAGACTTTTGATGAAATACCTCCCAGGACTGGCCCAAGTACAGCGATATCAATTCCAGCTCCCAAAGCTGGCATTCGTCCTGCTAACTGGAGCTGATTCTATGCCTGAACCTGTCTGCACCTCCAAAATCTGGCCAAATCATGATGTACATGGACCAATGCCAGCTCACATTTGGTCTTATGTTTCCAGAAAACAGATGAATGGGCCGACACTGAGCCACAATGTCTTCATTATAGAGACATAGATGGATGAATCACTTTAAAAGGTTTTTAAAAATAACTGCACAGTCACGTTTTTAGGAGCAAGATCATTTCATAATCTTTTGTTGTATGTATTTATTATGTCACTTGGAAACCATAACGTTTTAAATATTTATGACAATAAATATCCTGTTCCATACAGCAGAGAGTAATGAAATAATTATTGTTTAAAAGCTAACTAACCTGCTGACTAGACTAATAAAAATATAATCCCTCCTTATATATTCATTATATATAAAAATACAATTTATAACATAAATTAACATACTGACAGACACAAAAACCCACACAAATAGAAAACGAGTGCTGTGACCCATAATTGTGACTGTGTGTATCCCCGGTTGACCTATGAAGTCTGGACAGTATTGTTACAGAGCAGAACCATGACGAGGCTGGAAGGTCAAGCGTGTGGACAGCTGTCAGTCCCTGGGGAATGGTTGATACTGGCAGATGTGCCCTGGAAAAAAACCTGCGAGGTGTCAAAAGTTCCTTGAGTCGACAGTTCCAGTATGATGCTTTAAAAGTGTAGCTCAGGGCTGTGTCACAGTGGGGAAGCTCCTGTGAGAATATCTGATTTAGCAAAGCAGAAAGGCTATGCAGGGAGTCTACTGAAGTGTGAATTGAATGAGCAAGAGTAATGTGTGGAAACAGATGAAACCACATTTAGTAGCATGTAGTATTGATTTTATGCTAGGAATAGGCAAATGTTGAATCCCTATAGCCTGTTATGTCACATTTCAGATTTATACCAGTGGCAGCAAAATCATAAGGTTAAAGAGCTGGTCTGTCATTGGACCTAACCTGCTGAAATCCAAAGACCAGCTGGGGAAATGAAGGAGGTCTAATTAAATGTGTAATGTTTGCTGGTGTACCCTAGAACCAGGCACTTTAAATGTCAGTTCACCCAAATTACAAAAAGAATCTCATTTACCCCTAGTGGCATATCTGGCCAAGCAGATAGCTTTGGATGTTGTTTCACACAAAGTGCTTTCCCATCTGCCCACCAAGAAAATGGATATATCCCAGTTTTTACACTTGGCAGAGGTGGAAAAGATGGTGTATTGATGAAAACAACGGAAACAGTGAAGAAATTGTGGCATACGTAA